GGGTTTTGCTTTTGCATACAGTAACATACATGTCGAAAGCAGTAGCATAGAGGAGGTCCTGCAAATCCCAGTCGTGAGTGTCTGGGATTTCGGATGAGGGTTTAGGTTCAGGGTGAAGTAGGTTTTGGAGGTCTACAGCCTGGTGGGAGGGCTTCTATGGTTTGGGCTTTAGGGTTTTGCGTTCGAGGGTTTTCAAGCTTCGGAAGAAGGCTTTTCAGTTTAGGGTTTAGGTTGTAGGGCTCGGAACAGTTGAGGCATCTTCTTACTGGTCTAGTATTTCGGATTTTGGGTTTAGGGTTTAGGGTTTATGGTTTAGGATCTAGAGTTTACGGTTTAGGATTTAGGTTTTGGGGTTTAGGATTTGGGGTTAGGGTCTTGCTTGCAGATTCTTGGGACGTCGTCGTTGACCTTCGATCAGGGCTCGTGGCTTTGAGCTTTAATATAAGTTCCAGGGACTGAGGGGAAAGATGAGCTGGGAGTCTCATCCATTAGACTGGGGCAAAGGTGGCTCGGCTAAATCATGACCGATCTTATTCCTTTAAAGGGTTCCTTAAAGGGGGTCTATTATACGATTCTATGGTATAGGGGCCGAAATAATTTCGTGTGCTAGTCTGGTTCCTTATCATGATTATAGAGTACAATGGGCCGCAAGACCCCATTCTAACTATTGAGGCCCCGACAGTATATATCAGCTCCACCAATTCTGGCCTGCCGGCGGTGGTGAAATTGCGGGAGGGGGTGCGTGGTGCGTGGGCTTAGAGTTTAGGACGAGGGTTGAGGGTTACCCATGTGCAACTGAAAACAACCTTCTGCGAAGTCCTAACGATGCTCTCAGACCACATGTTGGGATGCGACTGTTCGCCGGTGAGTTCGGACTCTGGGGTTTAGGGCTCAAGGTGGCGACAGGCTGTACGGTCTGGTGCCCACGGCTTGGGACGGTGAAATATTTATAGCGGCCTGTAGAATCATAAACATGTTCCTTCGCGATCCATATTGTGGTTTACGATCATTGTTTTAATGAAGGTCCTTATATTCCATACATGATCAGTAAGCTGCAGTCTTAGGTCTCGATCACGCTACAAAGCATCATGTCGATTTCCGTGGACGTGCATCTGCTGAGTGGCAAGCGTGCCTCTGTGGAAGTGGAGGCGGAGGCCTCTGTTGAGTCATTGAAGCGTCGCGCCCAGAGTGCTCTGGTAGTCCCGGGTTGCGGTCGCCTGCTGAATTCTTCTGGAGAATCGCTAGACGGAACACAAACGATCACAGAAGCGAAGTTGAAGAGTGGAGACGTGCTCACTCTCCATGTGAACCGGGTCCAGCTTAAGACCACCAGGCGAGGCGACGATTCTGCAACTGCGTTCGCCGCTCTCTTGGGTGACGGATCTGTGTTCACCTGGGGCGATGCATACTCCTGTGGCGACAGCAGTGCAGTGCACGATCAGCTGCGAGATGTGCAGCATATCCAAGCTTCTAGTCGTGCATTTGCTGCCATCCGGGGTGATGGATCTGTCGTGACCTGGGGTGATGCCACTGGTGATGCCATCTGTGGTGGCGACAGCAGTGTGGTGCAGGATCAGCTGCGAGATGTGCAGCAGATCCAAGCTTCTGATGGTGCATTTGCTGCAATCCTGCGCGATGGATCTGTAGTCACCTGGGGCAATGCCCGCTTTGGTGGCGACTGCAGTGCAGTACAGCATCAGCTGAAAACAGTGCAGCAGATCCAATCTTCTAAGTATGCATTTGCTGCAATCCTGGGCGATAGATCTGTGGTCACCTGGGGTGATGGCCGCCGTGGTGGCGACAGCAGTGCGGTACAACATCAGCTGAAGAATGTGCAGCAGATCCAAGTTTCATATGGTGCGTTTGCTGCAATCCTGGGCGACGGATCAGTGGTTACCTGGGGTGATGCCGACTTTGGTGGCAGCAGCAGTGCGGTCCAGCATCAGTTGACGAATGTGCAGCAGATCCAAGCTTCTAAGCGTGCATTTGCTGGAATCCTGGGTGATGGGTCTGTGGTCACCTGGGGCAATGCTCATTACGGTGGTGACAGCAGTGCGGTACAGGAGAAGCTTCGACATGTGCAGCAGATCCAATCTTCTGGTTGGGCATTTGCTGCAATCCTGGGTGATGGGTCTGTGGTCACGTGGGGTGATGCCGCCTATGGTAGCGACAGCAGTATGGTAGAGGATCAGCTGCGAGATGTGCAGCAGATCCAAGCTTCTGAGGCTGCTTTTGCCGCAATCCTGGCAGATGGATCTGTGGTCACCTGGGGTCATGTCGACTTTGGTGGCGACATCAGCGCGGTACAGCATCAGCTGAAGAATGTGCAGCAGATCCAAGTTTCATATGCTGCGTTTGCTGCAATCCTGGGCGATGGATCTGTCGTCACCTGGGGCAATGCCACCTATGCCGGCGACAGCAGTGCGGTACAGGAGCAGCTGCGAGATGTGCAGCAGATCCAAGCTTCTGATCTCGCATTTGCTGCAATCTTGCACGATGGATCTATCGTCACCTGGTGACAGCAGTGCTGTGCAGGATCAGCTCCATGATGTGTAGCAGAAGTTTCCCACGAAACCTGGGAAGCAGCCTGCGATCTCCTGATGTCATGGGCCTACGAAAAACGGAATAGCTACAAAAGGGGTATCTTTCTTATTGAGTGGATACTGAGAAACCACGTTTCTTTACTAGCTCATGCACCTTTACGATCGCATGTTCTATGCAAACTTGCTTCTCAACATGTCGCACCTGCTTGAAGTTATTTGGGAGTTTCCGAGAATAGGGGACCCTAATATAGTACCCTAAATAGTAGGATCCTTATCATAAGGACCCCCAAATAAGGTACCCCTCATTTTTGGAAACTCCCATTTGGTCAATCTCAATCTCTGCGAGTCCGGGCCCGAAAAACTGCCCCGAAACCGATTTAGGGTTTAGGGTTTAGGGTTTAGGGTTTTATCTGAAGCCTTTATCTCCTGAACCCAAGGAGAAAGCCTAAAGCCCTAAAGGCCTAAGCCCGGACCTGAAAGACTCCATACCCGGCCATCCGTCATATCACACCATCGTTGATAGATAAAGTCATAATTACGACCCTGTCAGCTTTCCCGCGGTTTGGTCTTTAAGGTAGTGCGGGATCTTGTCTATCAGCCGTAGGAAGCCAATGAAAGCCCTACAGCCCCAAAGCCCTGAACCCTGAAATCTTCTACTAGGTTTTCGCCTTAAAGTACAATCCAGAAACTTGGAACATCAATATCCTCATGGCCTTTTAAGTTTAAAGTATAGGGGATCCTAGCACGAATCCTCCTAAACCAAATGTTCCAACTTTCTGGTTGTCGCCTTAATTCCTGAACAAAAGCTGGCAGGGTTTAGGGTTTAGGGTTTAAGGTTTAGGGTTTAGGGTTTAGGGTATAGGGTTGAGGGTTTAGGGTTTAGGTATCCGATGTCCAGGTGCTCTGGTCCCAGGGCGCAGTGTTTGCCGGCGGTCTCCATGGACTAGTAGGCAGGGGCTCTATTGCGGTTTTTTTCTGGGTGGTTGTCAAAATCATGGTCCCTTTTTTGGGTCCCTAATGTGAGCTCGTGATTATTAAAGGTCCCCTCAATAGAGCTAAACTCGGCCCGGCACACAATAATAAAAGGTCCCCTCAATAGAGCTAAACTCGGCCCGCACACAATAATAAAGACCCCTCAATAGTCCTAAAACCCGTCCCGTCCTAAAATTTTTAAGGTTTAAGTAGAGAAGCACTCCTACTACAAACTGACGCCCTGGAAGAGGAGAGACAGAAACAGGCAAGATAAAGGACAGAGAGATAGCCAGCCAGCCAGACTTAAGGGTTTAGGCTCCTACTGTACTACTGTACTAATGTACTACTGTACTACTGTACTACCCCCGGCCCCCAAACAACTTCGACCCCGGACCCCCCAAACAACTTCAGGTCAGAGATATGCGGACCCCCCGTTAATATTACAGGGACTGGACTTGTTTGGGGGGGGGGGGGGGGGTTTAATAATCAGGAGACCACATTAATGTAGTACGGCACCTAATATTTAGGGTACCTTAAAAGGGCCATAATTTTGACAACCACCCAATCTGTGTTTAGAAGTCCCTCATAATGTGTTGACCCCGCTTTGTAGTTTTGTTTTGATACGGCGATGCGGTGTGTTGGGTGTATAGAATGCTTTGATAGGGCGTTTATAATGTTTGACAGCGCTTTACTGTGTTTTTTAGCTATGTTTCAAAAGGGTTTTATAACATGCCTGCTAGGCCTCTGTATGATCGGATTTCGTAAGGGGTTCTGTAAGGGGTTGTAGCGTAGAATTTTTTCTTTCTTGTCAACCTCAGGGATTGTGGAAAGATTCTGTGTTCATGGAGTTTCAGGGGTCTTTTGTTTGTTTGCTTGTTGATCTGTAGCAGAAGAGGTTTGATAAGAGCGCTGGTGGCGTTTGACTTGGGTGCTATCTGGCGGTATGGCGCTTGGACGGATGTTGCGGTTGCAGATTGGTTGGTCAGGACCCTAAACCCTAAACCCTAAACCGTGGGAGGCTTGTCTTCGTGGAAGGTTTCATCAGATCTTCACCGGGTCCATGCTTTTACTTGTGATTTGGTCTTGAGAGCTTCAGTGTCATAGTTTCGGCAGCTGAGTCTACTTCTTCCTGTTGAGAGTTCATCCAAAGATCTCCAAGCACCCAGAATACCCGAAACCCTGCAGTCGGGAACAGAACACCAACAAAGAGGTCCCTACTCAAAGGGGAGCTGAAAACCTGGGGAAAAATGAGGATAAAAATTGAACTCACTATATGGGAGTTTCCGGAAATAGGGGACCCTAACATACTACCCTAAATAGTAGGATCCTTACTTTGAGGACCCCTAAATAAGGTACCCCTCATTTTCGGAAACTCCCATATTGTCCTTCTTCAGGTAAGTCCTTTCGTCAGTCCATGAAGCCTCAGGTGCTGGCACCGCGACGGACACAGCGCAAAACTTCGACCGCGAGTTCCAAAACACACAGATGGTGGATGAGGAGATGGGGTTTAGGGTCTCGGGTTTAGACCCTAAACCCTAAACCCTAAACCCTAAGTGTGCAGGGTGTAGGCTGTTGGGATTGTGGATCGCCTTGGAGGTTCTTTTCTGGGGAATGGGGAGATGGGGGGGGGATGAATTCTGGGTTCCGCTACTCCGTACATGATGAAGCCTAACGCAGAAGTGAGCCCAAAACGCACGGGAGGCAGATATCTTCATCAGCCACACTTGGACAGCGGATTCCTGGCTGAAGCATGCGGCTATATGCCTGCATCTGAACTTCAAATTGGCTCTGGGCAGCGCCATCAGCGCATGGATGTCCGTGATCGGCTACATCGCCATGACAGGCCCTCACCCCCGAACAAGCGACCGACCCCAGACTGCCTAAACTCTGCACCCCTCACCTCTGAAGCCCTTAGCCTTGAACTCAAGTCACTACGGTTGATGGTAGAAATCCTGCAGTACCGAAAGGACCCGAAACTATGGGATATTCCGTGTTATGGGTATTGCAGACATTGTCATCAACCGTAGGTTAAAGCGAAACAAATATCCAAAAGGTCTGACCTCCTGGGGTGGTTGCCATATTCTCGTGGTGGCGGGTGTTTACGTTCCGACGCTGCTCTTTTTCCTCGTGGTGTTCTATGGACACAGGCTGGGCAGCCTCCTCCACGAGCAACCAACCGTGTGGTTAGACAAGGTCGCTTGGATTTCCAAGTTGGTAAGCTTTGCTTGCGACGCCTTCTGTTGCTTTAGGGATGTTGGGTACTTTGCCCCAAAGCCTAAACTACTAAACCCCAAACCCAAACGCTTTGGCTTACGGTTTCGTTCATAGTCAGAGGCATCCCCAAACCTTCCAAAGGTGAGGGATGTATTCAAGGGTTTACTTCACCAAACAAGAGAATGTTGGAGTCACCGGGGAGGTGTGCCAGAGAAGTCTCGCAAATTCCAAAGCTTCAGGGTTTTGTGTTCGGGCTTAGATTAGGAGAGGTTTGTTACAAGCTGCATGCTGTACCATAACATCCTCCCAAAAGCCCCGTTCTCCCTCTCATGCCCTCGATTCGGTCTTTGGGTTGAGCTCCGCAAGTCCAAAACTTTCCTAAACCCTGAAACCCTAAACCATAAACCCTGAAACCCCAAACCATAAACCCTGAAACCCAAACCGTAAACTCTGAAATCCTCAACTCTGAGCCCTCGCCAAGGTTTGCATCCATCAGACAGATGAGGCGATGAAAGCGCAGCAGGTGAAGGCTTTGCCCGTGTTTGTAGCGCGCTCGCGAGAGATGCTGGTGCTGTGGAGTCAGGGCTGCACTGGAGGATTGACTTAGGGGTACTTAGATTTTTTTCAATTTTTGGTAACTATAAACATCCCTAAGAAACAGCTAAAATGATAAATTTTTGCTAGGGTTCTAAGTTCAGTCTAGTTGTGTTGGAGCTTCAGGGCTGTAGGGCTTTGTGGATTTTGGGGCTTTTAGGGGATCGTTTTGAGGTTTTTGAGCATAACCCTGGCTTGGGTTCAACATGTTTTCTGGTTTCAGTTTTTCTGGTTTGAAAATCAACGGTATTTTCCACATAGCCCTGCACCCCAGGTTTATTAGCAACCCATTTTTCCTTGAGCAGGGTAAATTTTTTTATGTCTTTTTTGGGCCGTCAGCAGCATCTGAGGAGTGACACCTATTTTGAGCGGCTTTGGTGCTGCTAGTCTGCGCAATGCTGAAAGTCGTGAAATCACAAAGCCTTAAGGAACCCTTCGCCCTTTAAAGATCCCTAAAACTTAAGCCCTGTAAACCCGCTTAAAGGCAGAATAGCCTAAACGCCATAGGTCCCTTAAAGGAACCCTAAAAGGAACCCTAAACCCACAAAACTCCTGCAAGGCATCGACCCCCGGAGGCCGATTTCTACCCAAAGGCCCCAAAGTAGTTCCTTCTTGGGGTTCGTATATAGAATTGCATAAGGTATTCCCGAAAAGGAACTACTATGGGGTCCTTTGGGTAATGCCTAAACCCCCAGAGGCCCTAAGAGGCTTCTGACTCTTCGGCAGAGACGGAAATTTGGCGTGTTAAAACAACCCCCTGAAGCTCCTTTCGTCCCCTAAACCCTCAACCCTAACCCCTAAACTCTAAAGCCTAAACCCTCAACCCTAACCCCTAAACTCTAAAGCCTAAACCCTCAACCCTAACCCCTAAACTCTAAAGCCTAAACCCTCAACCCTAAGCCCTAAACTCTAAAGCCTAAACCCTCAACCCTAAACCCTAAACTCTAAAGCCTAAACCCAAGAGCTGCAGGTAACTTAGAGTTGGCAACTTTTGCCAAGCACGGCCACGTGGAGAAAGTGCGCTTCGGCCCACTCTGGCTCGCTCCGTGGCTGCTCTCTTCCATGCTGCTGGAGTCTCGGCTCTGGGGGTTTTCCGGGGTTTAGGGGTTTAGGGTTGAGGGTTTTGGGGTTTAGGGTTGAGGGTTTTAGGGGTTCTGGGGTTTAGGGATCAGGGCTCAGGGTTTAGGGTTTAGGGCTTTGGCACTTCGGGTTTAGGATCAGGGTTCATGCTTTGAGGTTTAGGGTTCAAGGTTTAGGGGGACTTCCGCTGTCTAAGAGCTCGAAAAAACAAGCCATCAGCCGTCATCCTGCATCCTCAACTCAACACTACAACTGAAACTGAAACCCGAAATCCCCAACCCTAAAAATCCGGAACCCCGAAACCCTAAACCCCAAAAGAGAGGACCACCACCAAAAAACCCGGCAAGCCGAAACCATGGCACCTGGAAGCCTCTTAGGATCTGCTAAGCACCTCCCTCCTGGAGTTCCTGGAGATGCTCTGCTACTTTAAAGGGTTTAGGGTTTAGGGTTTAGGGTTTGAGGGGCGTGTTCTGTTATAAGGTTTAGCGTTTCGGGATGTTTCGGGTTAAGGGCTTAGGGTTAGGGTCTTATAGTTGTTACAGGATTGTGTAGGGCTTGATTCGGTTATGACGGTTGTGATATACGTGTTTTAGGCACTGGGCAAGCTCTTGGTCCAGGAGCTTCTCTTGGAATGTGACTTCAGGATTTACTGTTGACAGTTTGGGGTTTAGAGTGTTATATAGGTCCTATAGGTGTGCAAATTTCGGGGTGCTAGAACCTTAGGAAGCAAGATTTCAGATTCTGGGGTTTCCAAAAAATCCATGTTTCCGCGAGACGCTTCGAGAGGTCTCAAAAGATCTGTTCTAAACTACTTGAATAAACATGGGACTTAGCTGTTTGAATCGGTAGCTATACTTGCAGCTACTTATAACGTCTAGCCATTACGTCACATGATCCTCCAAGGAGGCTTACCTCAAAAGGTGCCTGTAGGTAGGGTTCGTACGAGTGCTTTTGATAGAGCTCTTGCGGCCCCAAGAACCCTGGTGAGTGCCTGTTAGTGTTTCGGGTACCCTAAATCCAATCATCTTAGTCACAAAAACCGCAACCTATGTTTCTGTGGAAGTTTGCTACAGGAAGAGTCTAGAAGTGGAGTTTTGGGCTTTAGAGTTCAGGATTTGGGGCTTAGGGTTTAGGGCTGGAAGGGTTTAGGCTTCAGGGCTTACTTAAACTGTCGAGGGTTTTAGGATTTAGGGTTTAGGGTTTCCAGCTCCCGCGTCTGAGGATAGCCATTCCGAATTGGACTGCCTTCTTTATGGTGCCGCTCGATCGGGCGTTTACGGAGACCTTCCATCTCGAAGAAGGCTTCAGGGTTTAGGAATTAGGGTTCATAGTTTAGGGCTTCGGGGGTTTAGGACAGATCCCATTTTTGCTGCTTCGGGTTTGGGGTTTAGGGGAGTTTAGGGTTTAGGGTTTGTGGGGTTAGCGCTGAGGTTTCGGAAGTCGTTAACTCCAGACTACTATCTGGGCTTCGTGTTTCGGCAGGGCCTTTGGGAATCTTTGGGAGGTCTTTCGTTTGTGGTTGTTGTTGCTCTGCTGCAAGGCGTATGAGGGGTTTAGGGTTTAGGGCTTAGGGAGTTCTTCGTGAAGCATCTACGAAGGAGTGCGCCCGCAGCCTCTACCTCAAGTCCCCCAACTCTAGCTCAAGTCCAAGCCCTAAGCCCTATACCCTACACTGCAAAACCCCTGAACCCGAAATCCTTCAATCTCAACGCCGAACCCTGCTTCCGACCCTACAGACCGAAACCCTTAACTCCCCAAACCCTAAACCCCTAAGCGCTAAACCCTTAGACTCTTCAACCCCCAACCGTTTCAGGTATCCTTATACATGTTTGACTTTAAAGGAGCCCTTGTAGAAATCCTTGCAGTGCCCTTCCAGGGACCCTTATAGATATCCTCCAAACCCTTAACTAGGCCTCCCGGTGGGCCCTTTTTCCCTTTTCGTAGTCCTGGGCTCCTTATAAAGTTACCCAATACCGCAGAGGGAGCTTTTTTATTCCTAGGTTACTGGGCATCCTAAACCCGAAACCCCTCAACCCTAAACCCTAAACCGCTAAACCCTGAAGCCCTAAACCCTAAACCCCTCAACCGCAAACCTCCAAACTCCCAAACCCTCAACCCCAAAACACCAAACCCTAAACCCCCAAACCCTAAACCCATCAACCCCTCAACCCCTCAACCCTAAACCCCCAAACTCCCAAACCCTCAAACCCTAAAACACCAAAACCCCCAAAACCTCAGCCCTAAAACACCAAAACCCCAAAAAAGCAGCGCAGGTTCGAGGCAGGCTGGGTTTTTCGCGGCGCTGGCGATCTGGTGCTTATCCGGTGGCCTTGGCTTGTCTTCGCAAGTTTGAAACTAGGACCCAGAGTAGGCCCTTATTCCCTTTTTTAGGGTTCTGGTTCCCTTATTAAGCCCCTTTAAACCAAAAAGGGCACCCTTTTTATTCCTAGGTTACTCTTGGGTCTAGCTTGGCTTGCCTTAGCAAGTTTGAAAAATCCAGGTGCATTCAACTACCTGGGTTTGGAGTACTATACTTGAATACGTTTTTGGGTACCTGTTCCCTAAAGGAGCCATTATGAAATAAAAGTCTATACTTTTTCTCCCTGGTTACTTCAACGCCCAGATTAGAATTGTGTTCCTTAGCTCATGTAAGTATACAACAAGATGCCCAAAATCTGAATGAACCCTAAACCCTAAACCCCTAAACCTAGTAAGGCCCAGGCTCCTTTATTCGGTTTTGGGTTTGGGTTTGGGGTGTGTGCGGGTTCGAGTATCGGGTGCACATTTGGGGATCAAAGATTGGGTTTGTGTTGCTCTAAAGCGTGGCTAACCAAACGGGTGGGTTTTAGGGTTTAGGGTTTAAGGGTTTTGGGTTTAGGGTTTAGGGATTTAGGGTTTTAGGATTTAGGGGAATAATTACTCGTTGTCTCTCGGGGACCGGTCTATTAAAATATAGGGAGTTTTCCAATGTTTCCATCCGGCCGTCCTCGGATTGCTATACAAGTTTTGTAAGTATGAACAGGAAAATCATGCATTTGAGGCGTAACGACCTCGATGATGAGGGGGATGCCAGAACATCATTAGCTGCGAGATCCTCATGTTAGATCTGGTCTTGTATGTCCGTATGTCCTTTGATCCGCCGATGAGTTAAAATCGGAGCTTCTTCCGTTCGGTAAGTCAACTCGTCAACAACCACCCTCTTCAGAGGCAATTCGGATTAGAGGTAATTTCAGTGCCCGACTAGTTCGAGAAAAACATACCGCCGCCACGGTTCTACGTACTTCAGAACCACATTGGCGTTAAAGGTGCCAAACTGAAGGCATCCTACTGGCAAGACGACATGGAACAGAGGAGCTAAGTCCCCTGTGCCTCCAAGTACTGCAGGCATGTGCTACTTGCCCACGTCGATTCCCGGCTGTGTGGCCTTTCGGAGAAAGGCAGGAGTTAAACATATGTGGATTTAGGCTTTAGGGTTTCGGGTTTAGGCTTTAGGGTTTCGGGTTGGGGGTTTAGGGTTTAGGCGTTCGGGTTTAGGGTATAGGGCTTCGGGGTTGGGGCCAGCCTGCTTGCGTTCCGCGATTTTGGGTGTAAGGCTTTGGACTTTTAGGGGTTGACTCTCAGAGTTCAGTGTTCCTGCCTTAAAACTCAAGACCAGCCACCTGGGCTTTCCCCCTATACAGTAACACCCTAAACACATCTAAACACTAATGCCCTGAAGCCTACAGCCCCAAAGCCCAAAGCCCTACACCCAAAACCCCAAGCCCCAAGCCTGGTAAGCCCTCGGAGGTCAGCAATCACAAGCTGATGCTCGAGCAGCTTTCGCGATTTGACATCCGTAATGCGCAGTGCACGATTGAGAGCGACCGCCCGCTGGTGGAGGATCAGGTCTGCGAGGGTTTAGGCTTTAATGTTCAGGGCCTTAGAGTAGGGTTAGATTTCAGGGAGGCTTTTTGGAGCAATTTTGTGGCTAAGGGCTTAAGATCTAGGGCTTGGGCTAACCCTGAAAAATTTCCCCAAGACCTCAAAACTCCAAACCTTTGCCTGAAGCCCTACACCCCAAGCTCAAGAACCCGACCCCTAACGTGGACACTGCTTTCAGGTTTGAGGGCGCTTGCGCCAAGATTATACCCCCACTGCTGTGCTCTGACCATGGAAAGCCGCCCCCCAAACCTTTGACAGGATGGCCCTAACCCCAATCCCGAAACCATAGACTCGACCACCCCGAGCCCCAAAACCCATGCGAAACATGGCAAAACCCCACACACTCTAGTCACGAAGCGACTAACACGAGCAGTTTGCAGGTTGTGGAGCTTTGGTCACAGGAGTCTGTGGGTAGACCTGGCCCGCAGCCATCTCCAACGCCGGATTCTTGGTTGGCTTAGGGGCCTGGCATAACTAGTTGCAGTGATTGTCTTTCGGGTCTCTTATGGCAACTCTGCTGTAATATACTCCAAAGCTGCCCAAGACCCTATTCCAATCTGCAAGGCGCCTGAACTATTGAGTGGGGAAAGTTAGGCTGCCATAATGCGACAAGCACAGCAGTGCCTCTTGTCTATTACATGTTCTTATTATGGTAGCTAGTACTCATTAGGACCCAGTATTGGTTTTGGGATTTCGGCTTAAGGCTTCCAGGTTTTCCTTCACACAAGAAGTATGAAGACTTTTGAGTACGGTAGTAGTAAGAGAATCCACGCCGTAGTTTCTATTCCAGGAACCCGGAACCCAAATCCCTAACCCTTAAGCCCTATACCCTAAATCCACAGCCCAACGCCCCAATGACTAAGTCCGAACCAAGGAAGTCGAATCACCGATCAACAGGGAGGAAGCCCTTCAGCGATTCAATGCTTTCGTTCAGGGGCCTCTACTAGGTGGGCGGGGTGAAGGGTTTAGGGTTTAGGGTTTAGGGTTTAGGGTGAAGGGTTTAGGGTTTAGGGTTTAGGGTTTAGGGTGAAGGGTTTAGGGTTTAGGGTTTAGGGTTTAGGGTGCTTGTTCAACCATCCGTGAGCTTGGGTTCTTATCAAGGCACTCATCTTTAAGCTACAGTCACCAGAATAGGGAGCACAACTTGCCGTATATATCGGTACTTATCATTGTCATGGTCCCTGGTAATCTAAGTTAACCTCCTGAACAGACGACACAGTAAAATGATGTTCCCTTCAATCCCGCCATTCAGGATCCTTGTTCTAATTCAAGTATTCTCTTAGCTTAGGATCCTCCGTCGCGAGGCTTTCTACCCAGACCCCCGGGGGGATCCAAAAAGTAGATCCCTTAATGGCGGTTCCTATAAGGTACCCTTGTTAGTATAGGGCCCCAAATTATAATTAGGGGATCTACTTTCTGGATCCTCCCGGCGGTCTGGGTAATGTTGGATTGATTAATAACCCCCCCCTGAGGTTTGTTTTGCGCGGGGGTCTCTTGGGGCAGGGTCTGGGGTCAGGGTCGCAATAGTAAACCTCTGGCCTGCTCCGGGCCTAGTATACTATTAGTAATAGTAGTAGTAATAGTAGTAATAGTAGTCATAGTAGTAATAGTAGTAATAGTACGAATAGTAGTAATAGTAGTAATGGTAGTAATAGTATGTTTAGGGTCCTCTTTGTTTGAGTCTCTGGTAAATACGTAGCCTCGTCTAGAATTTTGGGGATTTCGGAGCCCGAATATTTTAATTATCACCCCTATTATTATTGCGACTGAAAAATTATGATCAGTTGTTTGGCCAAATCTGCCCTCGCCTTTAAACTCCTCTTGCGCCCGGAAATTCTGGCCCGAGGAATATTTTAATTGTCACCCGGTTTAATAAATTCAATTCAACATTAATGGTTCTAGCTCCTCTGCGTAATACGAGTCAGCTGAGGGTTGACAAGCTCTTAAAGCAAAAGCCAGACAGTTGGAACATGATTATCCTAAAGCCTTTATGGTAAATTATAAGGTATCCTACCCTGAAACCATATTCCAACTTGGAGTTCCCTTTACCCCTAAATCGCGACAAACCCACGTTACAGTTTCCCTGAAGGTGCTGTGGTAGACGCTATAGGGCATGAAGCTCACGTGCCCTACCACCTTTGCGTGGTTGCCTTCCTGCCCATGAACTTGTACCTTAGGGTGCTTATAGAAATATTTTTAAATCTTTCTTTATTATAATCCCAAAGAAACAGCTAGATTTTTTTTGCTAGGGGTCTAAGTTCAGTATAGGTACCTTCGTAGGGTTCCTGATTACCCTGCCCCTGCCGCCCCCCCCAGGCAGGCATGATTTCCTCATAGAAGTCGTTAAGAAAGTAGGTTATAGTAAACCCCATAAAGTTGGAAACCGGGTTAAGGCCAAATAGTGCTTGGATTCCCTATATATATACATTACTCTTAAGGATTGAGGCTATTGCGTTTCCAACTTTTTGGCTTCTACTGTAGGTTATTTGGGGTCAAGGTACTCCTTGGTGAACACCCTCGGTTGCGATGGTGGTCCTTGCGAAAGCTCAGCTGCGAGTGCTGGTTTCCAATCAGTGGGATGGTACTTGGGAGCCTAGGTATCGATTTGGGATGACTGTTACTTTCCCTTATTGTTTAGGCTTTAGGGTTCAGCCGGGATTTGGGATAACTGTTAATTTCCTCTAAGTATTTTTCTGAGATTGTTGCAATCGACACCCAGGAACACAAGCGATGGCTTGGCTGCTATGCCTTTTGCTCACCTTCCCGCTCACCCACCCGGTTCTTTTGAGATTGATCCGGTTGGCAATGTCTTACAGTGAGGGCTATCTCCAGACCATACTGGCCGTGCTTTGCTGCCCCCTAGCCTACGCATACTCCTATGTGTGCGGGGGCATCATCTGGGGGTTGATGTTCGTTACAGTTCAAGACTACTCCCCTGAATGGCTTGCAGCGCTGGTGATCTATGTGGCCCTTCTCGTGGTGCAGGCCTGTGGGCATCAAAGACCCTAATTAAAGCCCCAACCCTAAACCCGACCTGGATCTACTCGGAGGCGCAGGGGGACTTGGAATGTAGCTGGTATGTTCAGCATACTTCGGGTCAACGTTCAGGGTTAGGGTTCAATTTTTCGGGCTTAAACCCTAAATCCTCAAACCCTAAGCCCTGGGTTTAGCGTTTGCTAACTATCTGCAGAGCAAGTCCCTGGTACACGGCTTTAGTCTAACCGATAGACCTTCCCTTAGGTTCAGAGTTTAGGCTTAAGGGTTTTTGTGGTGTTACCCTAAACCCTAAACCTTAAACCCTGAACCCTAAACTTTAATGCCCTAAACCTTAAACCTTAATCCCCTAAACCCTAAACCTTAGACCCCTAAACCCTAGACCCTAAACCTTAAACCCCTAAACCCTAGACCCTAAACCCCTAAACCCTAAACCTTAAATCCTAAACCCGAAATCGACGAGGAGTTTTTTCAATCTGCCGAGGCCATGCTGCTGTTTCGAAGCTCCCCCAGCGGCGCTCAGACTCAGATGGACATCGCCAGCTGCAACTTGCAGCTGAAATAATATCCGGGCCACCATTTTGGGGGTTCATCATTATGAATATAGTATAATGGGCCCCGAAACTCGTAATGATTTAGGCCCCTATGGTAGTAGGTTTTTATATGTGTACGTCTGAATCTAGTTAAGGGATACTGTGACCTCCGTCCGTTTCTGTTCACCCTTATATAACCCTGAACCCTAAACCCCAAACCCTTAACCCGAACCAAGGCAAATGTAGCTGCGCGGGTCGCCAGATTATGGTGCAGTATGAGGAGATTCGGCCCATGCTGCCTCCGAATACAGGCTGAGGAACATGTTATGGTATTGGGTTTAGGGCTTCGAGATTGGGGCTTAAAGTTTAGGGTTCTTTGGCCTGTTGTCCCGGAAATAGGGTCACGTCATGCTGAACTTTGTCAAACGATGTCGCCGGATACGACGGTGTGCCAGATGCCAGATCCGGGGCGTGTTTCCCAACCGCCTTGTGCGGGGAAGCCAGACGGCTCTTCGTGGCGAAATCCGTAGCATGCAGAGGATAAACTTAAAGCTTGGTTAAAATCAATATGAATTGTCTCGGAGGTGCTGCGGGTTTCCGCTTTCCACTTCAATGGCCAGGCTTAGCTGAGTCTTGCGTTGCTACGCATGTGTGTGCGCGCAAGGTACTGGCCCTAAGCCGCAAACTCCAACCCTTAAATCCGAAACGCTAACCGCAGCCCTAAACCCTAAAACCTAAATCCTAAACCCCCAAAATCCCGACCCCAAAACCCCGACCTCTTCTCCCAAACTCTATACCCAGAGAGCTGAAGTTTGCAAAACTTTCAAAGTAAAATATGTAGTTTTACATGCGTACATACGTGCGAATAGTTGCATATTTTCATATATACAAATATGTATATATATATATATATATATATATACATACATACACACATACGCTTTGATTATCAAAGAGCCATCTCGAAATCCATGTTGGTGAGTTGAGGTATATTCCTCAGTATTCCTTGAGATATTGGGCTCTCTGGGTGCTCTGAATCCAACTCATGACCAGCTGGGAGTTGCTCCTCTGCGGGTCGGACCCGCTTACAGCAGCGAAGTTTAGGGGCTTAGGGTTTCGGTGATTTAGAGTTTAGGGTTTAGGGTTTCGGTGATTTGTGGCTTTGAATAATTAGTTGCTACTTTACTTGGAAAAAGCATCCCCTTGCAGTCCCAATGTGGCAAGTGGATACATAGCAAGCCCTGGTTCTAATGATTGAGGCCCCTGCAATGGAGTGACCTGTGAGAGCAACTCCATAGCTTCGAAGTTCGAACCTTTTTCCAAGAGGTGGCGATCAAAGCAAGTGGCTTGGGTTACTGCCCCCACTCACTAACAGTTGAATAATATTCGAAATAGAGATAAAATAGGACCTTAATGGTAGCCCTATTATAGACTATAAATATTCAAAACAGAAATAAATTAGGACCTTAATAGTAGCCCTATTATAGACTGTTACAGTATGGGGGCAGTACCCAACAAGTGGCCGGGACCACCGTTTGCCCGACCTGTCCTGCCTTCGCTTGAAGTGGCTGAGTTTTCGGGAGACCCCAGCTATCGGAAAAAGTTCGTAATCGTACCACTACTCCTGAACCGGTTTATGGTTTAGGGTGTAGATTTTCGAGTTTGGAGCTTAATCAGGGATGAGTTTTTAGGGGGTGTGGGGTTTAGGGCTTAGGGGTGTAGGGTTTAGGGTACGGGGTTCAGGGTACTCGGGTCCCAACACTCTCAACCCTGACGTTGAAGCCAACCACGTTGAAGCCAACACGAAAGCTGACTGCTTTAAACCCTAGAGCCACGGTTTAGAGTTTAGGGTTTAGGGTGTAGATTTAGGGTTTGGGGTACCTAAACCATCAACCCTTCGGGATTTGGGGTTTAGAGTAGGGACCCTCGATCCCAGACTAGCTCGAGACCCTGAAACTTGAACCCATTGTCCGAAGCACTTACCTGTAACCCCATACTTGGAGGGTCATGGGACTTAGTAAGTAAAGTTATAAGTTATAAGTACCATAAATGGGGTTATAGGTAATTGTAGGTATAGTTGCCTTGCTTTTAACCCTAGTTACTAAGTCCCATGATCCTGTCAGCACGCTCCCAAATCCTACGCCCAAATGGCCTCGTTCAAGTTCTAAACCCTTATGCTTGAAATTCGGCACTTTAGGCCTTAAAGGCGTAACTCCTAAGTCCCTAAACCCTTAACCCTAAACCCTAAACCCTAAACCCTAAACCCTAAACTCTAAAGCCTAAACCCCGAAACTCCAGAGGCAGAAATCCTAAACCTCAAACCCAACAGGCCCCCCAATCCTACAGTCTTAACTTCGCCCTGCTGATCCTACCTAAGAACCTGCATGAGTAGACATACCTGTTGTTGTACATTTATTCATACACACACAAATATATACATGTATACGTATATGTATATGTATATGTTTATGTTTATGTATATGTATGTATGCATGCCTTTGTGTGTACATGCATATATGAACAATATGAATATATATATATATATCCGAAAGCTCATAAGACCCCTTCAATTCCAAATCCAACACCTTAAACCTGAACCCACAGACCCAAGCTTTACAATGCTTTGGAGAAGCTTGAGAGTCTTCTTTGCTTATCCCTAACCCTAAACTCGGAACCCTAAAACCGCAAGCCCAAAGCATCTTGCCGAAGCATCTTGTACAGCTTAGATAGTGGCCTCTCAGACTTCTCGGCTTGCATCAAGTCATGTGCGACGTGGAGGCTCCGCGGAAGACAGAACCAAGCACTAGAAGCTTTACGGGTTATACACTATTCCAAGTGCCTGAAACTAAGGAAACCCCGGTACATGACCTAGACCCTAAACTCTAAGCCCCTAAACCCTAAACCCCTAAACTCTAAACCCTGTAAGCCCGAAACCCTAAGCCCCTAAACCCTAAACCCCTAAACCCCCAAACCAGTAAACCCTAAACCCTACGCCCTAAACCCTATAAGCCCTATAAACCCTAAACCCTCAACCCGAAGGGTTTTGTCCATGGAAAGTGTAGGCGGACCGACTCGGTAGTCTGTTCCAGCCTTGTCCTTTTTCATGGTTTAGGGTTTAGGGTTTAGGGTTTAGGGTCCAAAAGAATAGACCGGCTAGTAGACCTTCTTAAATAAAATCTTACTAAGGGATATAGGTATGGGGCTCTGTCTATTATTTCTAAAAGGACAAGGGTGGTCTGGTCCGGACCGGATCCCGAACTATTTGGGTTTCGGGTTTCCAGGGTTTAGGGTGTGTAGGGTTTAGGGTTTGTCTAGGGGCTTATAGGGTTTAGGGGCTTAGGGTGTGCAGGGTGTATAGGGTTTGGGTTTATAGGGTTTAGGGGTTTAGGAATGAGGGTTTAGGGTTTAGGGGTTTAGGGGCAACGACGGCGCCATCTGCTGCTTTGCTGATGGCTATGCGCTTGTTGACGCTGATGTTGGTAATCAGGATATGGGTCGCGATGCTGGTGATGGTGATAGTGACACCGATGATAATGGTGGCACCATGTGATAATCACAAGCAGCAAGAGCGTGTAGCAGCTTCTGCAGCAGCAGGAACGGCAGTGGAGGGATCAGCAGCACTTGCACTTGCAGAGCTACTACAGCCATTGACCACTGTTTCTTTGAGTTGTCGAGGTTCATCCTGGTGTCAGCTCATCAGCCTCAGCGATCCTCAGCGTCACCGTCATCATCCTCGTCCTGTTCATCTTCAACATCACCAGCATCAATCTCATCCTTATCCTCGTCCTCACCCGCATCGCCATAATATGCTCCTCGTCATCTTCGGTAATTATTCTTCTTCCTCAACAACAGCGAAGACGAAGAGTTTTTCAAGCCGACACCTAAACTCTACATCGTTCCCGAAAGCCAGACTTTGTTTGGAGATGGGAATTAAGGTTTGGGACTTACATTCCATTGGTCAGGTCGCCGTCCATGTGCAGGGCCCGGAGTAAGGCCCATGTCCTCATGGTAGCCCTTACAAACTCAACAGAGCCTGTTTAGGGAACCTTATGTTAAGTATTGAGGCTCCCTTAAAAAAGCGCTACCAGCACCCTGTTAGGGGACCGTACTTTAAGTATTAAGGCCCCCCCTAAATTACCAAAGCCCTACAGAATCAGGCGGCGGCCCTCGTGGTGGACAATGGCAGCGGCATGTGCAAGGCAGGCCAGGGCCGGAACGCCGCACCCTAAACCTAGTAGTAGAGTAAGTAACCTTTGACATTTTTGGCTAGTATAGTCCCTATATAGCCCCTATATAATCAAAAAGGTTAACCTTTAGTTCCCCGCACCCGAAAGTTCTATACACCCCAAACCCAACACTGCTTGGAGGATCATGGGACTTAATAAGTAGGGTCATGAGTACCTTAATTGGGGCTATAACTTACACCCTGAGCTCCAGATCTGAAACTTAAGCCCGAAGCCCAACACCCAAGCTTAGACCCTTAGCCCAACACCCGAAAAACCCTAAACCCTGAACTTAAACCCCACACCCCCAAACCTGAAACACCCTAAACCCTGAACTTAAACCCTAAACCTCCAAACCTCAAACACCCTAAAACCCTGAACTTAAACCCTAAACCTCCAAACCTCAAACACCCTAAAACCCTGAACTTAAACCCTAAACCCCCAAAAACCCAAAACACCCTAAACCCTAAACTTAAACCCCAAACCCCCAAACCCTGAACTTAAAACCCGAAATCCGGAAGCCACAAAGCCCAGTGACAGGCTGGCTTCGCCGGGGACGACGCCCCAAGGGCCGTGTTCCTCGCCTCTTCGGTTTACCTGTGGATCCAAAAGCCTACCGTTTCAGGGGTCAGACCCGCTAATTAAGGGGTCATAACCTACTATTTTATAGGGTTTGGGGCTACAGGTATGCCTGGACCCCAAAAGTATGTAGAATAATAGCCGTTTATTGGTGCTGGGCCATTATTTTGCCTTTTTGGGGGGGGGGTCTAGGTATAGGGGCCTTGAGAATTAGAGTAGGGTTTTGGGCCCATTATACTAGAATCATCCAAAGGAACCCGCGTAATTATTTGGGCCCCGATAGTAGGGTTTATGGTTTAAGGCTTTGGTGGTTTAGGGCCCAGGGTTTGGATGGCTCGTTTTGTGGGAAATTAGAGTAACTTGCAGAACGCTGCCTCATGGTTTGCCATCGGTTTTTTCGGTGCAGTATACTACACCTCCGGTAAAGAATCCTAAGGCGTAGTATGACTAACTCTTCATGCTGATATTGCAAACTAAGGTCATCAAATTCGCTCATTTAAACTTTAAGCCAGAGAAAATTGTTCTGCTTTAACTATCACATGAGGGGTTTGTCAGAGTCTCTCTATCAAGAGCCCAGTTTCGCATCCGTCGTCGGCCGCCCCAAGATGCCGGGCATCATGGTGGGCATGGACCAGAAGGACTGTGGCCGTTTGCGGTTTGTGGCACTTTGTGGCTGTGAATTCGGCAAACCAGAAGGGCGCTAACTGTGGCGTTTAGGGTTTAGGGTGCAGAAAGCCAAGGGGGACTCAGTAAGTAGAGAGAAGCAGGTCTCTATGTTCGGGGAAGTCAAACATGGGGTATTTGTACCCCATGAGGACTACGACTCCTGATCCTTTCTTTACGTAGGGGCTCGGGCCAGGCGCCCAGGCTTCAGTCGCTTTCGGCTTTAGGATTCAGAGTGTTGGTTTCAAGGTTAGGATGCGGGATTTGTATTTGGGTTCAGCTTTCCGGGCATTGGGTGCAGTGGGTCCCGATGAAGCAAAACCATCCTAGGCTTCCATGCCTTCCGCACAAGACCCGTCACTTCCGACCAGTTTCCCCCCAAGGGTTTTTGGAGTTTAGGGTGGGTGATGTGTGTTGGGTTCTGTTTTTGTATATGTAAGGACTCAGGGGATATGCTGACTAAGTATTCGACTAAGGCGAAATTAGTAGCAAGCATTCCGACCCCCAAGCAAGAACCTCAAGAGAGTCGCAAAGTACTGGAGCTGTAAACCCGAAATTCCGCACCAGAGGGTTCAACGTGTTCACAGTTCTCTTCACATACCCGGCTGCTTGTCCACGCTGCCTCAGCCTCGTACTGTACGTGAAGCTTCCTTGACAAACAGAGTCTGAGCCATCAGTGCTAGTGTCTGGTTAGGGTTATTCGATTATTTCAGAACGCAACACCCTCAGAGACGAGTAGGTCCAAATCCCCACTCTTGGGTTTGCCAGGACTCATACATGGGTGATGAGGCTCAGTCAAGAAGGGGTGTGCTGACTCTGAAGTACCCCATCGAGCATGGCATCGTCACGAACTGGGACGACATGGTGCCTCGGCCTTGTCAGAGATGACTCTTCACAAAACCCTAAACCCAAAACCCAAAACCGAAAACCCTAAACCCTAAACCCAAAACCCTAAACCCAAAACCCTAAACCCATAGCTCCGATAGAAGCCCCGTCAGAGTATCCCTCCAACCCAAAAGCCCTAAACCCTAAGTCGGATTTAGAAAGCAGATCCCCTAATTTGGGACCCTATACTACTAAGGGTACTTCGGAGGAACCCCCATTAAGGGATCTACTTTTTGGATCCTCCCGGGGTGCCTAAACCCTAAGTCACACATGCTAAGTTCTAAAAGCCAGAGCAAGACCCAACTTTGAGGGAGCTCAGGAAGCCGGGAGTTTAAAGGGAACTCCAGAAAGTTGGAATATGGTTTCAGGCTAGGATACCTTATAATTTACCATAAAGGGTTTAGGATAATCATATTCCAACTTTGTGGCTTTTACCTTAGGGTCTAGGGTCTGCTGGGCTTAGGAATTCAGCTGCTCGGGCTGCGAGGGGCATTGCGCTGCCATACGGACTGTGATTCAGTGTACTTGGAGGGTCGGGGGACTTAGGAAGTAGGTAGTAAGTAGACTTATAAGTACCCTAAAAGGGGCCCTAATTGGGGTTGTGGTACTTATAAGTCCCTAAAATAACCAGTTACTAAGTCCCCCGACCCTCCAAGTAAGCATGGAAGCACTAGACCTCAACCAGACCCTGAAGGGAAATTCTACACCCTAAAACCCTACTCCCGGAATCTGAAGCTTTATTCTTAGAGCCCTATACTATATACCTTAAACTCCCGAGAAAGACAATTGAGGCTCCATCCTTTGGTTGCTCCTGGTAAGGAGCTCCAGCTGTTCCCTGTCGGAAAACAGCCATCAGCAAACAAAACAAAACCCTAATGTAAGGGCAAAAGGAGGGACCCTTAATGGGGACCCCTACCCTATAATGGGCTATATAATGGGTATGTAGTAGGTATATTAAGGCTATATACCTAGGGGTCCTGATTAAGGGTCCCTCTTTTACCCTGTGATACACCCTTAACCCTAAACCCTGAGCCCGAATCTAAACCCTAAACCCTAAACCCTCCCGCGCCCTACACTCCGAACCCTTGGGACCGGGTTTGCAGACTCACATATTAAGGCTTCTGGGCCCAAAGACCATACCTAGGTGGCAATTTGGGAAACTTTCGAATTTCCCTTATGGTTCCTATAGAGGTACCTATTCATAAATATACTTTTCAGAGCCCCAAAACTTCAACCCGGATACTATATAAGGCTTTTGTGCTATTTTGATCCCCAGGGTAGGACCTACACCCCCAGGAGAAACTGTGGCACCATACCTTCTACAACGAGCTGCGCGTCGCCCCGGAGGAGCAAGAACTATGAGAATGGTATTTTAAGAATATAGGGGATATCCCTACCTTCATGGGCTTCATTATATAGGGGGTTATGGGAACTATGGTACATTCCTTATTATGGGTCATGCAGGATTTGGGTGGTTGTCATAGGGTCCCTTTTTGATTTCCGAATATAGTACGGCACCTTTCATTAAGGAGTCGCCCCGGAGGAGCAAGAACTATAGTATTGGTTTTCTTGGTCATAGTTGGGTAACATTTTACATGTTTATAGCTATTTAAGCCCAATAAGGAATACAAGTGCAAATTTTAATCCTATCCCAACCATGAACTAGTTTTAGCAATATCACCGTTTAGTCCCTAAGACAATATATACCACATTCATTCATTGTTCTCACTATCTTAGTTGACAATATCACTATTTCATGGCATACCTCGAAACCCTATTCTCATAAATTTGGCCTCCCTGGTAAACACGAATCCGGAGGAGCATCCCGTGCTGCTGACGGAGGCTCCACTGAACCCCAAGGCCAACCGTGAGCGTATGACGCAGATCATGTTCGAGACCTTCAGTGTGCCTCTGCTTGGACTACGTACTAGGGTTTGGGTTTAGGCTCGTTCCAGGAATCGGCAAGTTACGCACAGGATCAGGGGAGGTAGTAAGTAGGTTGATTAAGATTTGGAGATGGGTACTCGAACTGAAGTAATCAATCCTACCATACCTCCAGAGCCTGCTTACTGGGTTCCCTGAGCCTCTAAGTAGACCAGTATCATGTGGCCGCAGAGTGTATACTTTGGCTCTACAGGGGTTCCTAAGCAGTCGGTACTCCAGCTTCACACTGCTACCGCACAGGCGTCATCAAATACCGTCCAGCATTGGGGATTTGCGTGCGAAGCCTTGTTGAACACGGCCTCAAACTCATGCGCCATAGGCTTCAAATACCACCCAAGACTAAAAGCAAGTAATGTGGGAGTTTCCGAAAATAGGGGACCCGAATATAGTACCCTAAGTAGTAGGATCATTATTATAAGGCCCCCAAATAAGGTACCCCTAATTTTCGGAAACTCCCATGTTCTTCTAATGTTCTTCTGAACCCTAAACCCTAAACCCTAAACCCGATTCTTCTGTATGGTTACCTCAGGGCAACCTTTGCTGAAGATCTCAGCCCTGCGGCCTAAAATGTAAGGACCTGATCAAGCACCCCGCGCTTCTTAGGGTTTAGGGTTCAGGGTTTAGCGCTTAGGGTTTAGGGTTTAGGGTTTAGGGTTCAGGGTTTAGGGTTTAGGGGTTAGGGTTCTTCTTGTCAGAGCTCTTGGCATGGATCCTACACTGTAAAGGAGATCTCGAACCGGAAATGTCTAAACCAGGCTCCAAAAGCAAAGTCACCCTCCCAAACCCTACGGGCCCTCGCCCTGCAAAACCCTTACACTCTTAAAACAAGGGCGGACAACTACGCAAAGCCTTGCAAACCATTCAGAGTATGGATTTCGGGACCTAGAACCCTACTGTTTGGCTACTTGGACCCTCTGGGTAAGGCCCTTGCAAAGGCCCTGAAACCCTAAAGACCTGCACATCTCGATTCTTGCCTCCTGCTCAGAGAGGCTCCGTTGATTTCGCAAGAAGACTTGGTATGGCACATACCGCCCATCACAAAGTCTTTAATATAGGTACGTTTCATGATTAGGGTAGGTTTTTGGGGTATATTATATTGTACTATAAGGAACCGTACGGAATATGGCAGGGTAGGTTTTTGGGGTATATTTTAATAGTAATAGTAATAGTAATAGTAATAGTAATAGTAATAGTAATAGTAATCGTAATCGTAATAGTAATAGTAATAGTAATAGTAATAGTAATAGTAATAGTAATAGTAATAGTAATAGTAATAGTAATAGTAATAGTAATAGTAATAGTAGTAATAATGATTAATTGTAATATAAGGAGCCGCAAGGCATATTGCTGGTAATGCTGAGCTCCGTGCTAAGGTTCCCGCCATGTATGTTGCAATCCAGGCGGCTGCGAATCGGACACCGGGGAATGTGGCTGAAAGAGCCGGGGATCGGAGACCGCAAACCTAAACTTACAGCAGAAGCCAAAAAGTTGGAAACCCCATAGCCTCAATCCTTAAGAGTAATGCATAGGGAATCCCAGCACTATTTGGCCTTAATCCGGTTTCCAACTTTATGGAGTCTACTGAATAGCGACGAACCCCAATAAATTTGGGGCTTCGAGATTCGAGTGCAGGGGGGCCGTAGCAAGTACGATTTAAATCCAAATTTATCAGTACAGGGTTGTAGCAAGATCGCATGGATTGACTTGAGCCTCCAGCTCATCCTTGCTGAAGCAAGACTTTCGCTTTATTTGGCATAGTAGAGTCGTATGAAGAAGTGAGACGTGATCTGCAAGTTCCACCACAAATAGCGCACACAGGCTGTGACAATTTGCTGCTTCGGGGACAGAAACCCTAAACCCTAAACCCCAAACCCGAAACCTAAACCCTAAGCCCTAAACCCTAAACCCCAAGCTCTAAACCCTAAACCCTCAACCCCTTGCAAAATTTTTGGAGACGCCATGCAGAGCATGCAAAGCCAAGGCGGATGAACTTCACGTCCGACGTGTAGAACCCCACCACCACCCAGAGAGATCCGAATACCCCTTAATTAAGGAATAGACCTTAAACCATAATATTTAACCCTAAACCCTAAACCGTTAAGGCCCCCCTATAATTTAAGGCTCCTTAATTTCGGGATATTGGGATCTCTGAGTATGCAGGCGGTGCTTTCTCTCTACGCATCCGGCCGCTGCACGGGCGTTGTCATGGACGCGTCGCTTGAAATTTCGTCTCTCGCTCCCTAGGATCAGGGGCTTTGGGTTAAGGGGATTTCATATACGATTGGTTTCAAGCGTGGTTTGATTGGATTTTTTTACGGGTAAGTTCCTGGTTTGTGCCTTTAGAGGACACTTGGTTGGTGTTAAGTTAGAGTTTAAACTATCCTAGTTGGTGGTTTCGCATGTCTGTTCCCACTTACAACCGCTCTACGAAGTCCCGTCGCGATCCAAATGGTTACGAAAGGAACAGGGTCCTGTATGGAGTTGTTCCTGATTTTTCGTGCCTTGGTTGAGTTCTCGTTGTGGTACTCTCTGGGTTCAGGAAGCACGTTCTGTGGAACCCTTGATTCTGGACCCCACCCAACTGCAGGACAGCGGTGATGGCGTGTCACACACCGTGCCAATCTACGAGGGCTACTCGCTGCCCCATGCCATCCAGCGTCTGGACCTGGCCGGCCGTGATCTTACGCATTACTTGATGATGATCCTGACCGAGCGCGGCTATTCCTTCACCACCACAGCAGAGCGCGAGATTATCCGTGACGTCAAGGAGAAGCTCTGTTACATCGCGCTGGACTTCGACAGTGAGATGAAAGCTGCCAGCGACAGCAGTGACAAGGAGTTTGTCGAACCATCATGCACAATTCTGTTTCGTTCTGTCTAGACTCATGGCCATAAACTCATATAAACCCAAAACACCCCTAAACTTCCAAGAACAAGTAGCTGCAAAACCCTGAACTCCATACCTTAAACCCTAAACCCTAAACCCCTCAACCCCTCAACCCTCAACCCTATAAACCCTAAAACCTTAAACCCTAAACCTTAAACCCTAAACTTTAAACCCCACAGGAGAGAACTTACGAGCTCCCAGATGGCTCAATTATCGTCCTCGGAACCGAGCGTTTCCGCTGCCCGGAGGACCGCCTGTCGTTGAGGGTTTAGGGTTCAACAGACCACAGCCCACCGAAAGCCGTCAGTTAAGGCTAGGTAGGGCTTTGAGACACTGTATATTTTCCCTTATTGGGCTTAAGAGGATCATATTTACTAACATTTGTCGAAGGCTTTATGAGCCCCACCTAAAAGGGATTTCTATGCAAACCCTGGAATATCCCGGAATCTCGCCTCCGGCTTGGGTGTTGGTTCACAGTTAGTTGCTTTGGGTTACGGGATCAGTTTCGCAAAGAATCTAGCCCAACACGCCAAGCTGCTAAACCTTGCAACAACATCTCAGGGCATATAGCCTCCCTCTTCGATTCAATGGTTTAGATGAACTAGAAACTCACGCTCAGGTTTGAGCTTGAGGTTTGGAAGTCGGGGCTCAATGTGCATAGATCGCGTGACAAGTGCTTTGGCATCCGCATAATATAGGAGCCGTAATCAGTACCTATACGATTTTGGGGGCTCCCTATTACAATTATAGCATAATGGGTCCGAATCCCTATGCTACTCATTAAGGCCCCCTGTAGTATGCCTGGAGGTGTTGTTCCAGCCCAGCTTCTTGGGCAGAGAGGCCAACGGCATCCAGCACATTACCTTCCAGTCCATTATGAGGTGGCCTAAATAATTATACTATTTTGATGGTTCCAAATTATGATGATCGTATATTTTTTTGGGGGGTTACTTATTATGATGATAGTCTACAGTATAATGGGCCCCAAAACCCGCCTCTAATGGTCCATCATGAGGTGCGACCTGGACGTGCGAAGGGATCTGTTCTCCAACATCGTGCTGTCCGGCGGTAGCACGATGTTTCCGGGCATCTGGGTTCTTATTCAGACGCATAGTTTAAGTTACCATAAGGGATCTCTACTGTTCGCTACTAAATGATCTGGGGTACCCTAAGCCCTATATGGTTGCCTAGAAGCCCTAAGCACTTAAATCCTAAATCCTAAAAACCCTACATTCCTCAACACGAACGCAGGCATTGGTGAGCGCATGACCAAAGAGCTGAGTGGTATGGCCCCCCCGTCCGTCAAGATCAAGGCGGTTTCTCAAAATCAGAGTCTAGGGTTTATGGCTTTAGGGGTTTAGGGTTTAGCGGTTTAGGTGTTCAGGGTTTAGGGTTTAGGGTTGGGGGTTTAGAGTCCAGCGTTTGGGGGTGTTTTGTTTAGGGGTTCTCATGTCGTAACCAAAACGTTCTCAGCATTTAATTCAAGATGCTTTGAGACTCTCAGGTAGTCGTTCCTCCGGAGCGCAAGTACAGCGTGTGGATTGGAGGCTCCATCCTGTCCTCCCTGACCACCTTCCAGCAGATGTGGATCTCCAAGGGCGAGTACGACGAGAATGGGCCAAGCATCGTTCACCGCAAGTGCATCTGAAGTTGGCGAAATGTACTGAATCCACTATCGCAGGTGCTTTTGTAACAAGAAGGCTGGCGGCAGACATGTTGAAGAGGGTGAAACCCTCATGTTCATGTCCGATCTGGAGGCTTGCCGTGCCTTGGATCCACTGAGGATCCCACATTAAGGCTAATCTGGTTTATCGTGTGATATCGTGTTATTCTCGCGAGCCTGCTGTATAGCCTTGGGCCGCGAAAGAGTTTGTGGATGCCTGGTGTTCAGACTTGATGCCAGCAGGAGATTTGTCTGACTTCAAAAAGCCCCAGCAAACGTGAAATCCCTCAAGCGGCAAGCCCTGAACACCCAATGGCTCATAGACCCCCGAAGCCCTACCTATGGTTAGTAGGGAATGGGGGAATGGGGTGCAATTAAAACTACTATTACTACCATTCTTCCATTCCCTACTAACCAAAGGTAAGAAGCCCTTGCCCCCACGTGCAACTCTCGAAATCCACACTTAGCACTGACCGCTGCACCCCCATAAACGTAAGACGCAAACGAGGGTTTGGCGAATGGGCTCGTAGTCAGGGTTCTGGGAGTTGCCGAGCGTCACATGACCGGGCATCAAGAATCATGACCAACAAATTACCAATGCTCTCAAGCTTAACATGCAATAGACGGGCCTGGAGAATCAGTACACGAACCATACTTTAGGGTTTCCCAGCGTGGATTCATGGTACTTCATAAGGCCCCAACCCAACCAAACCTTAGTTGATTGTTCTACGCTTCGGGATTAGGTTTATAATACTATACTACCACTATAGTTTCGGCGTGCTGCGTGTTGTGCCAAGGTAGAGCATGCAGCATGTATTGTATGGAGTTTGAAAGGTGTAATGCTGCGGGCTTGTGGGTGAATTATACATTCAGTGGTATATTTGTAGCCGATCGTTCTACTCGAATCGACCTAAACCCTAAACTCTGAAGCCACTCCGCTGGACCCTAAAACGCGACCCTGTTTAGGGTTTCTCGGCCGAGTTCGCATAACCTGACCCTGGCCTCAAGCAACAAGCATTGACTTAGGGCCGTTTTATAGCCTCCGGCTTCTTTTCCAACTTGCAGCCATGGGTGACGAGGAGGTCCGCCGTTAACCCTAAGCCCTGAGCCCGAAAGTCTGTTCAGGTTTAGGATCTTGGGTTTAGGGTTCCTGCAATTCCCTGAAAGCTTGAAAGGGCTTTAATGTAGGGGCCTTGACAATTACCTATACTATTTTGGGAGTTCCTTGTTACAAGTAAGTATAGTATACTGGGCCCCCAAAACCTATTCTAATTATAAACGGCCCCATGTTAAGGAAAGCCGAGGCTCTAAACCCAGCTGAAGCACATTTAATGGCATTTAATGGCTTTGCACCTCCCCAGCCTAAACCCTAGATTTCTAAACACTATATTCACAACTACTCCAAGCTTCTTGCCTGGGGACATATATTGTTTCTTGGAGGGTTTGGCTTAAAGTTGAGAGTTAAAGGTTTGTGCAAAGCAGGGCATCGCAATAGCTCAATCGCAAAAAGGATATATGCCAAAATTCAAAAGCTTCAACCGAGCCGGCGCCTGATTTTCAACTTTGTGCGCAACAGGACCCCCGAAGGACTGAAGGCCTGTATGCCGTCAACCTCCATGAGAGAGAGCTAGAGATAGGCCTCTTGTAGCCTCTCCGGGAGAGAGCGAGTGAGAGAGAGAGAGAGAGAGAGAGAGAAAGACAGAATGATCTTCCTACTCTTTCTGTTTAGGTGGCAGCCTTGGTGGTGGACAACGGCAGCGGCATGTGCAAGGCAGACTAGGGTTGATGTGTTTTGGAGTGGTGGGGCTGAAAGCACACACAAGTTGTTTTTGGGTCGAGGTCTCCTTAGGACCTTTTGTTCATATAAACGCAAGAGCATATTGAAAGTCATATTTTCATTATGGTTCTAAAGGGGGTGTAGGGGTGGTTTGGGTTTACGTTCCAGTGACTTTGTTCGTGGGCGGGCGGAAGGGCTGGGTGGGTTTCGGGGACTTGGTGTTGGAACTTGTAGGATTTCGGGTTTGGGGTTAGAGCCGGGTTCAGGGTTTAGGGTTTAGGATTTCGAGTTTGTGTGTTTCATTTCAGGTCTTATAAGCGCGCTGCCCAATTTCACGCGGTCTGAATAATCGGTGGCTTCGGGTTTAAGATGAATCGCTGATCCAGAAGCTACGATGCGAAGTTCTCAGATGCGACCGTGAGCAGTCAAAAAGCAAACGTGGAAGTTGCAGGCTTAGGATCTTAGGACATTTAGGGTGTAGTTTCACAAAGAAGGAAGCCACCCAAACCAGGGAACTTGGAGCCCCTTCCCCACGGTTTAGGGTTTAGGGTTTAGGGTTTAGGGTTTAGGGTTTAGGGTTTAGGGTTTAGGGTTTAGGGTTTAGGGTTTAGGGTTTAGGGTTTAGGGTTTAGGGTTTAGGGTTTAGGGTTTAGGGTCCGACCCTTGAAGGAGCCTGCACCTTCTCAGCTTAAGGTGTTCTGCTACGGGTTCTTGGAAGTAACCCCACTTGGAGGGTCGGGGGACTCAGTAACTGGTTATTTTAGGGACTGATAAGTACCATAACCCCAATTAGGGTCCCTTTTAGGGTACTTATAAGTCTACTAACTGCCTGCTTCCTAAGTCCCCCGACCCTCCAAGCAGACTAGGTATGCTCGGGTTTCGAGGTTTGGAGTACAGCGGCTTAGGTTCCTTTCGCCATCTAGCCACGACCACCAATCGAACAAAACAGCAGCCCCTACGTGGGTGGTTGTCAAAATTATGGTCCTTTTTTTGGGCCCCTATTATAATACGGCATCTAATATTTATGGTCCCCCAACAGGGGCCCCAATTTTGACAACTACCCACGTGATAGGCACATAGACCCGATATCCGAAACTAAGCTCATAAGATCCTATCTGAACTTCTACCCCCTTGCATACTCCTCTTTGAGGGTACACGGAGTGTCAGGGAAAGGCATTTCAAAGCCCGAACTCACTTTGGCTTGTCGGATTGTTGATAAGGAGAGTTGAAAGTTGGGCAAACTTGCTTCTCCGACACGGTAGACCCTAAACCCCATAGATCTTTCAACTTCATTATTGGGGTTCTGGCAATTGGGTTAGGGTTCTTGGGGTTTAGGTTCGCGGATTTCGAGGCTTCCGAGATTTAACGTTCTATAGTAGAATCCAGAAAGGCCGTTAAGGTAAAGTATTGGGTATCCCAGCACTATTCATCCTTAAACCATGTTCCAACTTTCTGGGGTTCAATGTCTAGGGTTTGGGGATTTGTACTTTAGGGGTCGAGTAGTTCTTGGAACAGAAGCTCTATAAGCCTTCAGCCAATTCGATCTTCTGATAATCCCTAAACGTAAGCCCTAAACCCTCAACCTAAATCCTGAACCCCGAATCCTAAAGCCTAAGACCCCAAACCCTAAATGCGATCAGGCCGGCTTTGCCGGAGACGATGCCCCCCGGGCAGTCTTCCCTTCCATCGTCGGACGCCCGAAGATGCCGGGCATCATGGTGGGCATGGACCAGAAGGATCGCCAGCTTGAGGGCGTCTAGGGGTTTCAGGGGTTTGGGGGTTTCGGGTTTAGGGGTTTAATGGTTTAGGTGTTTAGGGTTTAGAGCACTCATACTTACAGTAGAAGCCAGAAAGTTGGATCACAATTATGCTCATGCCCTTAAGGGTAAAGTGGAGGGACTCCTAGCACTCATCGTCCTAAATCCATGTTTCAACTTTCTGGAGTTCACTGCATAGTAGCGAATAATGATAATGTATGAGAAAAGTAGCAGTATTAGGTAGTAATGGACCAGAAGGACTGTGGCCGTTTTTTAGGCTTCGCGGCACTTTGTGGTTGTGAGTTCGGTGCTCTTCTCGTCGGCCGTAGGGGCTCCAGCGTTTCAACCAGAGGACACCGGCTGCATAGGGTTTGTGGTCACGGATTCAGAATTTTCTGGGTTTGCGGCTTGGATTTAGGAGGGAGCCATGGGGTTGCATGCAGGGGGTGCTGACCACCGTCACGCGATGAGCGACTCTTTTTGTTGCTCTGTGTGAGTGCGTGTGTGTGTTCGCGTGCAGGATTCCTACGTGGGTGATGAGGCCCAATCCAAGAGAGGTGTGCTCACGCTGAAGTACCCCATCGAGCACGGCATCGTCACGAACTGGGACGACATGGAGCCTCGACCGAACGACATTGTTGAAACGGGCATGGCATGCTTTTAGGCGGCAAGACTGGGAGTTTGCTGGATCGAGGGGTCTTGTGACTTAGGAGAAGATCTGGCACCACACCTTCTACAACGAGCTGCGCGTGGCCCCAGAGGAGCACCCGGTGCTGCTGACGGAAGCCCCTCTGAACCCCAAAGCCAACCGCGAGCGCATGACGCAGATCATGTTCGAGACTTTCAATGCGGCTGGCTGGAGAAATAGCTTAGAAGTTCCTCCCTTCCCCGATTAAACCCTGTAATTGACCAAGGCTTATCTAAGGGTCTTGTCAGTCACACATTCCAGACATGCTCATTGTAGCCTTTGTAGGTTTGGCTGTCCAAAACCTTCGTTCGGGCCCAATATAGGTGAGACAGCCGAGGTGCCGGCCATGTACGTGGCCATCCAGGCCGTGCTGTCTCTCTATGCCTCCGGCCGCACCACCGGTATCGTCATGGACAGATGCTTTAACAAAGCCTTGTGATCGCTAGATTTGAAGGGAACCCCACCGCTCACTCTATCAATGCACCAACATCTGGAATACAGATGATCAGTTTTGGCCCTTTGCCCCTCTTTGCTCTCAAAATTCTTTGCCTGCAGGACAGCGGCGACGGCGTGTCGCACACAGTGCCGATCTACGAGGGCTACGCGCTGCCCCATGCCATCCTCCGACTGGACCTGGCCGGCCGTGACCTCACGGAGTACATGATGAAGATCCTGACCGAGCGCGGCTACTCCTTCACCACCACGGCAGAGCGCGAGATTGTGCGTGATGTCAAGGAGAAGCTGTGCTACATCGCGCTGGACTTCGACAGTGAGATGAAGGCAGCCAGCGAGAGCAGCGACAAGGAGAAGACGTACGAGCTTCCGGACGGCAACATCATCACCGTGGGCGCCGAGCGCTTCCGCTGCCCAGAGGCTGGGAAAGTCCTGCCACAACCGGGCTTCCGTTGTGATCGGGCTTGAATGGGGTCGATCCACAATCTGCCCCTGCATCGTTTTGTTTTTTATAGATGCAAACTTGCTCAACGCCCTTGTCAGGTCCTGTTCCAGCCTAGCTTCGTGGGAAAGGAGGCCAGCGGCATCCATGACACCACCTTCCAGTCCATCATGAAGTGCGACGTGGACATCCGAAAGGACCTCTACTCCAACGTGGTGCTGTCGGGTGGCACCACCATGTTCCAGGGCATCGGTGAGCGCATGACCAAAGAGCTGACTGCCTTGGCACCTTCCACCATGAAGATCAAGGTGGTGGCCCCACCGGAACGTAAGTACAGCGTGTGGATTGGAGGCTCCATCCTGTCCTCCCTGAGCACCTTCCAGCAGATGTGGATCTCCAAGGGCGAGTACGATGAGAGCGGCCCGACCATCGTGCACCGCAAGTGCTTCTAAGAGTAAAGTTTTCAGCACCAGCGGCAAGACATGTCGAAGAGGGTCAAGTCCTCATGTTCATGCCTTGGCCGATGGTGTCACAGACTAGGTCCCTGGGTCGTTCCGCATGGTCCTGCTCAAGGGGACGGATCATAGCAGGATAGACCCATCGAGGGCTTGTGCTGTGTGTCATCTGCCGAGACGATGGCAGCGCAAAAGCCTCGTAGCTTTTACCTGTATAGACCACCCTCTGCATGCTGCTTTAGGAAAATGAGCATTGCCAGAGGCGGCAATGATGGTTTGCAATCGCAAGCATTTAGCAATCTAGCCCTGTGCGCACGCAACAGAGTCGCATGCTCACGTTGATTCCATCGGGCCCGAGCATCTTGTACAGCTCTGGTCAACTAGTCTCCATCTCTCGTGTTTCTTCTGCAACCATGGGTGACGAGGAGGCACGGAATTCCGCACGTCTAGAACGGGCTTGACGTCTGTTTCCCCGCAGACCTCAACGGAAGAGTTCGTTATAATTTTGCTGTCGCAGTTCTGCAATTCTGCGAGGTTGCCGCGTTGGTGGTGGACAACGGCAGCGGTATGTGCAAGGCTGGCTTTGCCGGGGACGATGCCCCGCGGGCAGTCTTCCCTTCTATCGTCGGACGCCCGAAGATGCCGGGCATCATGGTGGGCATGGACCAGAAGGACTGTGGCCGTTTATAGGATTAACCGTTACGTACAGGTTTGGGGCTTGGAGTTTTAATGGCGTCGAGGCGTTGCACTGGGGGTGTTGACCGCCGTCACGTGGTGAGCGAGCAGCATTTTGTTGCTGTGTGTCTGGGTGTGTGTGTGTGTGTGTGCGCGAGTGCTTGCATGCAGGATTCCTACGTGGGTGATGAGGCCCAATCCAAGAGAGGTGTGCTCACGTTGAAGTACCCCATCGAGCACGGCATCGTCACGAACTGGGACGACATGGAGCCTCGACCGAACGACATTGTTGAAACGGGCATGGCATGCTTTTAGGCGGCAAGACTGGGAGTTTGCTGGATCGAGGGGTCTTGTGACTTAGGAGAAGATCTGGCACCACACCTTCTACAACGAGCTGCGCGTGGCCCCAGAGGAGCACCCGGTGCTGCTGACGGAAGCCCCTCTGAACCCCAAAGCCAACCGCGAGCGCATGACGCAGATCATGTTCGAGACCTTCAATGCGGCTGGCTGGAGAAATAGCTTAGAAGTTCCTCCCTTCCCCAATTAAACCCTGTAATTGAGCAAGGCTTATCTAAGGGTCTTGTCAGTCGCACATTCCAGACATGCTCATTTTTCTAAGTAGCCTTTGTAGGTTTGGCTGTCCAAAACTTTCGTTCGGGTCCAATATATAGGTGAGACAGCCGAGGTGCCGGCCATGTACGTGGCCATCCAGGCCGTGCTGTCTCTCTATGCCTCCGGCCGCACCACCGGTATCGTCATGGACAGATGCTTTAACAAAGCCTTGTGATCGTTAGATTTGAAGGGAACCCCACCGCTCACTCTATCAATGCACCAACATCTGGAGTACAGATGATCAGTTTTGGCCCTTTGCCCCTCTTTGCTCTCAAAATTCTTTGCCTGCAGGACAGCGGCGACGGCGTGTCGCACACAGTGCCGATCTACGAGGGCTACGCGCTGCCCCATGCCATCCTCCGACTGGACCTGGCCGGCCGTGACCTCACGGAGTACATGATGAAGATCCTGACCGAGCGCGGCTACTCCTTCACCACCACGGCAGAGCGCGAGATTGTGCGTGATGTCAAGGAGAAGCTGTGCTACATCGCGCTGGACTTCGACAGTGAGATGAAGGCAGCCAGCGAGAGCAGCGACAAGGAGAAGACGTACGAGCTTCCGGACGGCAACATCATCACCGTGGGCGCCGAGCGCTTCCGCTGCCCAGAGGCTGGGAAAGTCCTGCATGCCACAACGGGGCTGCCTCACTTTGAAGCTGTATCGTTGTCTTGTTGCATGTGTAAACTTGCTCAGCGTGCGTGGCAGGTCCTGTTCCAGCCCAGCTTCGTGGGAAAGGAGGCTAGCGGCATCCACGACACCACCTTCCAGTCCATCATGAAGTGCGACGTGGACATCCGAAAGGACCTCTACTCCAACGTGGTGCTGTCGGGTGGCACCACCATGTTCCAGGGCATCGGTGAGCGCATGACCAAAGAGCTGACTGCCTTGGCACCTTCCACCATGAAGATCAAGGTGGTGGCCCCACCGGAACGTAAGTACAGCGTGTGGATTGGAGGCTCCATCCTGTCCTCCCTGAGCACCTTCCAGCAGATGTGGATCTCCAAGGGCGAGTACGATGAGAGCGGCCCGACCATCGTGCACCGCAAGTGCTTCTAAGAGTCAAGTTTTCAGCACCAGCGGCAAGACATGTCGAAGAGGGTCAAGTCCTCATGTTCATGCCTTAGCCGATGGTGTCACAGACTAGGTCCCTGGGTCGTTCCGCATGGTCCTGCTCAAGGGGACGGATCATAGCAGGATAGACCCATCGAGGGCTTGTGCTGTGTGTCATCTGCCGAGACGATGGCAGCGCAAAAGCCTCGTAGCTTTTACCTGTATAGACACTCCTCTGCATGCTGCTTTAGGAAAATGAGCATTGCCAGAGGCGGCAATGATGGTTAGCAATCGCAAGCATTTAGCAATCTAGCCCTGTGCGCACGCAACAGAGTCGCATGCTCACGTTGATTCCATCGGGCCCGAGCATCTTGTACAGCTCTGGTCAACTAGTCTCCATCTCTCGTGTTTCTTCTGCAACCATGGGTGACGAGGAGGCACGGAATTCCGCACGTCTAGAACGGGCTTGACGTCTGTTTCCCCGCAGACCTCAACGGAAGAGTTCGTTATAATTTTGCTGTCGCAGTTCTGCAATTCTGCGAGGTTGCCGCGTTGGTGGTGGACAACGGCAGCGGTATGTGCAAGGCTGGCTTTGCCGGGGACGATGCCCCGCGGGCAGTCTTCCCTTCCATCGTCGGACGCCCGAAGATGCCGGGCATCATGGTGGGCATGGACCAGAAGGACTGTGGTCGTTTATAGGATTAAGCGTTACGTACAGGTTTGGGGCTTGGAGTTTTAATGGCGTCGAGGCGTTGCACTGGGGGTGTTGACCGCCGTCACGTGGTGAGCGAGCAGCATTTTGTTGCTGTGTGTCTGGGTGTGTGTGTGCGCGAGTGCTTGCATGCAGGATTCCTACGTGGGTGATGAGGCCCAATCCAAGAGAGGTGTGCTCACGTTGAAGTACCCCATCGAGCACGGCATCGTCACGAACTGGGACGACATGGAGCCTCGACCGAACGACATTGTTGATGCAGGCGTGACATGCTTTTAGGCGGCAAGACTGGGAGTTTGCTGGATCGAGGGGTCTTGTGACTTAGGAGAAGATCTGGCACCACACCTTCTACAACGAGCTGCGCGTGGCCCCAGAGGAGCACCCGGTGCTGCTGACGGAAGCCCCTCTGAACCCCAAAGCCAACCGCGAGCGCATGACGCAGATCATGTTCGAGACTTTCAATGCGGCTGGCTGGAGCAATAGCTTAGAAGTTCCTCCCTTCCCCGATTAAACCCTGTAATTGACCAAGGCTTATCTAAGGGTCTTGTCAGTCACACATTCCAGACATGCTCATTTTTCTAAGTAGCCTTTGTAGGTTTGGCTGTCCAAAACTTTCGTTCGGGTCCAATATAGGTGAGACAGCCGAGGTGCCGGCCATGTACGTGGCCATCCAGGCCGTGCTGTCTCTCTATGCCTCCGGCCGCACCACCGGTATCGTCATGGACAGATGCTTTAACAAAGCCTTGTGATCGTTAGATTTGAAGGGAACCCCACCGCTCACTCTATCAATGCACCAACATCTGGAATACAGATGATCAGTTTTGGCCCTTTGCCCCTCTTTGCTCTCAAAATTCTTTGCCTGCAGGACAGCGGCGACGGCGTGTCGCACACAGTGCCGATCTACGAGGGCTACGCGCTGCCCCATGCCATCCTCCGACTGGACCTGGCCGGCCGTGACCTCACGGAGTACATGATGAAGATCCTGACGGAGCGCGGCTACTCCTTCACCACCACGGCAGAGCGCGAGATTGTCCGCGATGTCAAGGAGAAGCTGTGCTACATCGCGCTGGACTTCGACAGTGAGATGAAGGCAGCCAGCGAGAGCAGCGACAAGGAGAAGACGTACGAGCTTCCGGACGGCAACATCATCACCGTGGGCGCCGAGCGCTTCCGCTGCCCAGAGGCGGGGGAAGTCCTGCATGCCACAACGGGGCTGCCTCGTTTTGAAGCTGTATCGTTATCGTTTTCTTGTTGCATGTGTAAACTTGCTCAGCGTGCGTGGCAGGTCCTGTTCCAGCCCAGCTTCGTGGGAAAGGAGGCTAGCGGCATCCACGACACCACCTTCCAGTCCATCATGAAGTGCGACGTGGACATCCGAAAGGACCTCTACTCCAATGTGGTGTTGTCCGGTGGCACCACCATGTTCCAGGGCATCGGTGAGCGCATGACCAAAGAGCTGACTGCCTTGGCACCTTCCACCATGAAGATCAAGGTGGTGGCCCCACCGGAACGTAAGTACAGCGTGTGGATTGGAGGCTCCATCCTGTCCTCCCTGAGCACCTTCCAGCAGATGTGGATCTCCAAGGGCGAGTACGATGAAAGCGGCCCGACCATCGTGCACCGCAAGTGCTTCTAAGAGTCAAGTTTTCAGCACCAGCGGCAAGACATGTCGAAGAGGGTCAAGTCCTCATGTTCATGCCTTAGCCGATGGTGTCACAGACTAGGTCCCTGGGTCGTTCCGCATGGTCCTGCTCAAGGGGACGGATCATAGCAGGATAGACCCATCGAGGGCTTGTGCTGTGTGTCATCTGCCGAGACGATGGCAGCGCAAAAGCCTCGTAGCTTTTACCTGTATAGACCACCCTCTGCATGCTGCTTTAGGAAAATGAGCTTTGCCAGAGGAGGAAATGATCGCAGGCATCTAGCAATCCTGCAGGCAGCAAAGTCGCACGCTCATGTTGATACAACCGGGATCAACCGGGCCCGAGCATCTTTTACAGCTCTGGTCATCTAGTCTCGACCCCTCGTCTTTTTCTGCAGCCATGGGTGACGAGGAGGCACGGAATTCCCTGCATCTAACAACACCAAACGAGAGTTCAGCAATCAGAGCGAGCTCAACGTTTCTTTCCCCGAAGACCTCAACGGAAGAGCTCAGAAAGTTATATCAAAACCCTAAACCCTAAACCCTAATCAGCCCTGCAATTCTGCAAGGTTGCCGCGTTGGTGGTGGACAACGGCAGCGGTATGTGCAAGGCTGGCTTTGCCGGGGACGATGCCCCCCGGGCAGTCTTCCCTTCCATCGTCGGACGCCCGAAGATGCCGGGCATCATGGTGGGCATGGACCAGAAGGACGCCAGCGGTTGAGGGTTTGTGGTACTTTGTGGTTGCGAACTCTCCGTTCTTCCTTTTGGCGCTGCGGTTGGGCTTCAAGCCTGTACTTCGGGCAACGATTTGGTGAGTGATCAATGCTTCAAGTCTGTGCGCGCTTGCGTGCAGGATTCCTATGTGGGTGATGAGGCCCAATCCAAGAGAGGTGTGCTCACGCTGAAGTACCCCATCGAGCACGGCATCGTCACGAACTGGGACGACATGGAGCCTCGACCGAACGACATTGTTGATGCAGGCGTGACATGCTTTTAGGCGGCAGGACTGGGAGTTTGCTGGATCGAGGGGTCTTGTGACTTAGGAGAAGATTTGGCACCACACCTTCTACAACGAGCTGCGCGTGGCCCCAGAGGAGCACCCGGTGCTGCTGACGGAAGCCCCTCTGAACCCCAAAGCCAACCGCGAGCGCATGACGCAGATCATGTTCGAGACCTTCAATGCGGCTGGCTGGAGAAATAGCTTAGGAATTCCTCCCGTCCCCGATTTAAACCCTGTAACCAAGGCTGAACATGGCTGAACTAAGGGTCGTGTCAGTCACACATTCCAGGCATGCTTGGCTTTCTAAGTAGCCTTTGCAGGTTTGGCTGTCCAGAACTTTGGTTCGAGTCCAATATGGGTGAGACAGCCGAGGTGCCGGCCATGTACGTGGCCATCCAGGCCGTGCTGTCTCTCTACGCCTCCGGCCGCACCACCGGTATCGTCATGGACAGATTCTTAAACAAAGTCTTGTGATTGCAAGATAAATGTATGAAGGGAACCCCACTACTACCTCTATCAATGCACGCGAGCATCAGAACATTTTGCAGTTTGGGCTACAGATTATGAGGTTTGGCCCTTTGCAGCTCTTTGCTTTTCTTTGCTTGCAGGACAGCGGCGACGGCGTGTCTCACACAGTGCCGATCTACGAGGGCTACGCGCTGCCCCATGCCATCCTCCGACTGGACCTGGCCGGCCGTGACCTCACGGAGTACATGATGAAGATCCTGACCGAGCGCGGCTACTCCTTCACCACCACGGCAGAGCGCGAGATTGTCCGCGATGTCAAGGAGAAGCTGTGCTACATCGCGCTGGACTTCGACAGTGAGATGAAGGCAGCCAGCGAGAGCAGCGACAAGGAGAAGACGTACGAGCTTCCAGACGGCAACATCATCACCGTGGGCGCCGAGCGCTTCCGCTGCCCAGAGGCTGGGAAAGTCCGGCCGATTGGGGGCTGGCACGGGTTTATCTGCAGCCTGCTTTTTTGTTTTGAAGCTGCATTTTTTTGTACATGCAAACTTTCTCAACGTTCGTGGCAGGTCCTGTTCCAGCCCAGCTTCGTGGGAAAGGAGGCCAGCGGCATCCATGACACTACCTTCCAGTCCATCATGAAGTGCGACGTCGACATCCGAAAGGACCTCTACTCCAACGTGGTGTTGTCCGGTGGCACCACCATGTTCCAGGGCATCGGTGAGCGCATGACCAAGGAGCTGACTGCCTTGGCACCTTCCACCATGAAGATCAAGGTGGTCGCCCCGCCGGAGCGTAAGTACAGCGTGTGGATTGGAGGCTCCATCCTGTCCTCCCTGAGCACCTTCCAGCAGATGTGGATCTCCAAGGGCGAGTACGATGAAAGCGGCCCGACCATCGTGCACCGCAAGTGCTTCTAAGAGTAAAGTTTTTAGCACCAGCGGCAAGACATGTCGAAGAGGATCAAGTCCTCATGTTCATGCCTTAGCTGATGGTGCCACTAGGTCCCTGGGTCGTTCCGCATGGTCCTGCTCAAGGGGACGGATCATAGCAGGATAGACCCATCGAGGGCTTGTGCTGTGTCATCTGCCGAGGCGATGGCAGCTCAAAGCGCCTTGTAGTGTTTACGTGTATAGAAGTTACGTATGCTGCCTGAGGCAAAACATCGTTGCATGAGGCGGCATGAATGATGTTCACAGTCGCAGGCATCTAGCAATCTAGCCGTGTCTGCGCAGGCAACGTACTCGCGTGTTCACGTCGATACTAACGGGCCCGAGCATCTTGTACAGCTCTGGTCGACTAGTTTGCGTCTCTCGTCTTTTCCTCTGCAGCCATGGGTGACGAGGAGGCACGGAGTTCCCCATCTCTAGTGACACCAAACGAAATCTCAGCAATCAGAACTCTACTTTTATTTACCCGAAGACCTCAACCGAAGAACTTGTCAGCAAAGCTGACAGATCCTTAGATGAGCCCTGCAATTCTGCAAGGTTGCCGCTTTGGTGGTTGACAACGGCAGCGGTATGTGCAAGGCTGGCTTTGCCGGGGACGATGCCCCCCGGGCAGTCTTCCCTTCCATCGTCGGACGCCCGAAGATGCCGGGCATCATGGTGGGCATGGACCAGAAGGACGCTAGCGGTTTATCGTTTGTCGGGATTTGTTTGCGAATTCGGTGTTCTTCTGGCAGCGGTGGAGGTTTCAAGTGCTTACTTCGGGCATCGTTCACGGTGATTTGGTGAGTGGGGCTGCAAGCCTGTGTGCGCTTTCGTGCAGGATTCCTACGTGGGTGATGAGGCCCAATCCAAGAGAGGTGTGCTCACGCTGAAGTACCCCATCGAGCACGGCATCGTCACGAACTGGGACGACATGGAGCCTCGACCGAACGACATTGTTGATGCAGGCGTGACATGCTTTTAGGCGGCAGGACTGGGAGTTTGCTGGATCGAGGGGTCTTGTGACTTAGGAGAAGATTTGGCACCACACCTTCTACAACGAGCTGCGCGTGGCCCCAGAGGAGCACCCGGTGCTGCTGACGGAAGCCCCTCTGAACCCCAAAGCCAACCGCGAGCGCATGACGCAGATCATGTTCGAGACCTTCAATGCGGCTGGCTGGAGAAATAGCTTAGAAGTTCCTCCCTTCCCCAATTAAACCCTGTAATTGACCAAGGCTTATCTCAGGATCTTGTCAGTCACACATTCCAGACATGCTCATTTTCTAAGTAGCCTTTGTAGGTTTGGCTGTCCAAAGCTTTCGTTCGGGTCCAATATAGGTGAGACAGCCGAGGTGCCGGCCATGTACGTGGCCATCCAGGCCGTGCTGTCTCTCTACGCCTCCGGCCGCACCACCGGTATCGTCATGGACAGATTCTTTAACAAAGCCTTGTGATTGCAAGATACATGTTTGAAGGGGACCTCACTGCTCCCTCTTTCAATGCACGCGAGCATCAGAACATTTTGCAGTTTGGGCTACAGATTATGAGGTTTGGCCCTTTGCAGCTCTTTGCTTTTCTTTGCTTGCAGGACAGCGGCGACGGCGTGTCTCACACAGTGCCGATCTACGAGGGCTACGCGCTGCCCCATGCCATCCTCCGACTGGACCTGGCCGGCCGTGACCTCACGGAGTACATGATGAAGATCCTGACGGAGCGCGGCTACTCCTTCACCACCACGGCAGAGCGCGAGATTGTCCGCGATGTCAAGGAGAAGCTGTGCTACATCGCGCTGGACTTCGACAGTGAGATGAAGGCAGCCAGCGAGAGCAGCGACAAGGAGAAGACGTACGAGCTTCCGGACGGCAACATCATCACCGTGGGCGCCGAGCGCTTCCGCTGCCCAGAGGCTGGGAAAGTCCTGCCGATTGGGGGCTGGCACGGGTTTATCTGCAGCCTGCTTTTTTGTTTTGAAGCTGCATTTTTTTTGTACATGCAAACTTTCTCAACGTTCGTGGCAGGTCCTGTTCCAGCCAAGCTTCGTGGGAAAGGAGGCCAGCGGCATCCATGACACTACCTTCCAGTCCATCATGAAGTGCGACGTCGACATCCGAAAGGACCTCTACTCCAACGTGGTGTTGTCCGGTGGCACCACCATGTTCCAGGGCATCGGTGAGCGCATGACCAAGGAGCTGACTGCCTTGGCGCCTTCCACCATGAAGATCAAGGTGGTGGCCCCACCGGAACGTAAGTACAGCGTGTGGATTGGAGGCTCCATCCTGTCCTCCCTGAGCACCTTCCAGCAGATGTGGATCTCCAAGGGCGAGTACGATGAGAGCGGCCCGACCATCGTGCACCGCAAGTGCTTCTGAGCTGTGGGGAGTAGGTGAAATAATTTCGATTGCCATGCTGGAGGAGGTCCATGTCGAAGAGGGTGAAGCTCTCATGTTCATGGTTTCTGTTTCCGGCGTTAGATGCCAATCCTGCTTTGCATCGACGTCGAGGGGACGCGTCAAACGAGATTGCTTCGGATTTGCCGAAAAAACCGTGACTCCTGACCTCAGCATGGGTTTACAGACGTTAACCAAAACCGCACTTATGTAAACATTAAACCCCAAACCTTAAATCGTGGACAAAAGCAACAGACCATCAGCCTTGGAAAGCAAACCCTGAACCCCAAACTTTAAGCTCATCCCAGGTTGAAGCCTCAGCGAGCTATCTCATTCAACCCAACAGTTACATTTCAATCAAAACAGGGGTATTAAAAGAACTCTGAACAAAGCCCTAAAACCCTAAATTACAGTTGGAAAAGGGCCCCGTAAAACAAACAAGTAAAAGCCCCAAGGCCCTAAACCCTAAACCCAAATTCCAAAAGCCCTACGCCGGAAGATTCTGAGACCCCCCGCAGGTTCCCAACAGCCGGCTTGATGGCATCTCCGCCCCTTAGACTGGGCTTTCGGGGTTTTTCGGCTTTAGGGTTTAGGGTTAACCGCTTCTTTTCTTGATAGGAACCATTATGAAGTAATTAAAAGCCCCTTAGATCATTTGGGGTTTCAGGGGTTTGGGTTGGGGGGGTTAAGGGGGGTGGTTCCTTGGTTTAGGCGTTTGGGGGTTGAGGGTTCTTTGGGCCCAAACCGTAGCTTGAATCATCAGGTAGAGATTCTGCGGGCACTCCCCTTGTACCCTCAAAAAGGGGGTAGGTTGCCCACTGGTAGGTATTTAGGGGCCGAACCAAGGGTGTGCCACTGAGGATTTATGGCTCAGGGCTCGATGTGCAGGCGACTCTCCCAACAGCCATCATTTGGGAGTTTCCGAAAATAGGGGATCCTAATATAGTACCCTAAATCCTTATTATAAGAGCCCCCAAAATAAGGTACCCCCCCTAATTTTCGGAAAATCCCATTGGACGAGACGGTTGGACTATCAACCCAATCCTTGATAAGTACCCTTTTTGTGGGTGTGAAACGCTGGCGAAACCTATGAGAACCCCAAACTCCAAAACAAGCCAAACGCTGTAAACCTTAAACCCGGAAAAACCGAAGCAACTCTGGGGTTAAGGCCTCAGAGTCTAGAGCTTAAGCCACCATACTTTGGTGGTAGACCTTATCCCGAAACTTCAATTCAACAGCTTGCAAGTGCCCAGGACACGAGACTTGTTTACGAGGCGGCAGAGCTTCTGGACATAGGTCGGGCCCGTGTGTGCAAAGCATCTGGGGGAACTGACATGCTCTTGCACTGAATTCCGATTGCATACCAGAACACGACTTGTACTTTCAAACAGAGGTATAGGCATTTAGGGTCTGATAGAGGGAACTGACATATTCTGGCGTTGAGTTTCGATTGCATGCAAGGACACTGCTTGTACCCTCAAACAGGGGCATAGTTTCCCGAATGCAGGCATTTAGGGTTTGACAGAGGGTCCATATGGATGGTTGTCAAAATTATGGTCCCTGTTTGGGTACCCTAAATAATGGGTGCCGGATGATAATAAGTACCCCAAAAGGGATCTTAATTTTGACAACCACCCATACCTGGACCCCAAAAGTATGTAGAATAATGGCCTTTTATAGGTTTTGGGCCATTATTTTGCATACTTTTGGGGGGGGTTAGGTATGGGGACTTCTACACATCGTTACGCTGTCACATCAAAGCTGGGAGTTTGGGTTCCCCCACCATCGGGTTCAACTGAATCCAAGGGTAAAAGGAGGGACCCTGAATAAGGACCCCTAGGTATTTAAGGGATCAAAAAGGGTTCTATAAAGGGTTTAGGGTTTAGGATTCCCTTAATAAGGACCCCTAGGTATATACCCTTAATATAGCTATTATATACCTATGATATAGCCCATTATAGGGTAGGGGTCCCCCTTAAGGGTCCCTCCTTTTCCCAATTGACTCAACGGAGACCACAGCAGCCTGTGGGTTCAGGGTTTTAGGGCCAGGGTGTAGGATTTATGGTTGAGGGGCTTCAGGGCCAGGCTCTATGTATATAGTTCTATACTTCTATATATAACTATATATTATATATATATATATATATATACTAATACTAAGTGGATATAAAATGCTTCAGGGACATCCAACTTCTGAACTATAGGGTTTGAATAGACCTTAAGCCCTGAACCGGAACCCTAAACCCTTTACCGTGTAAAGCTCAAGCAATGTTGCTGCACTTGGACCCGACCACCTCGAAGAAGCAAGACAACACCTAGGATGCCCATTAGTACCCTTATTCCCTTTTTGTAGTCCTAGGTTCCTTATAAAGTTACCCAATACCAAAAAGAGAGGCCTTTTTATTCTTAGGTTACTGGGTATCCTAGACACGTGATTCTGCTCTCAGAGTCCCTGCAAGGTGTACTCTACATTCGGGCGTATAAAGAGGCTTTTCTCATACATACTTAACCCTAAGCCCCAAATTGCAAACTCCTTTGAACTGATCCTGCATTGTCTTGGCTCTAAGAGCTTCCGTCAGGCCTTGCGAAGATTACGAACATCGTCTAGGTTTTGCAGGTTTTACTGTAGTCTAGGACTCCGAGAGACCAAATCCGAAGAACCCGGGCGGGGGAATCTTTGGGGTGAGGGGTTTTTTGGGATAGGGATTTAGGGTTCAGTTTTGTTTTTTTGGAGGGGGGTTCAGTCAAAACCTACCCGAAGCCTTTTCCACCAGGCGCTGAGAAGGAACTTCCGCGCGGTCCTGAGGCTGTCGGATTCCGGAGGCTCAAAATAGCCCCAAACCTTATATAGTATGGTCTTTGAACCCCAAAAGCCTCAAAACATGAGACCTCAGAGCCTTAGGGTGTTGTTCAGGGTTCAGGTGTTTAGGGTTTGCGGGTTGGGCTTGGGATTTACTTCAGGGATCAGGGGTGCTTAATGACACCCCTAAATCCTTGAACCCCAATCCCTTGAGCCTTCAAACCCAAAGCCCCTTGAGCCCTAAACCCCAAACCCTAACCCTGCCCCGGCTTTTCAAGCAAAAACCCTAAAGCCCCCAAACTCCCTGAACCCCCCAAACCCCAAATCCCATCTTCAATCAAAAAACGAAACACTAAACCCTAAACCGTTCGCCGGAAGGCTCCCGACAAACAGGCTCCCTTAATACCGGGGCTTCATTCGCACCTGCAGTTGGAAAAGGACCCATAAAAGGACAAAAAGCCGTGCGGTCCAAGTCCCCCTCTTTAGCAAAAACACAACTCCACAAACCCTTGTAGGGAATAGGGTTTAGGGATTAGGGTTTAGGGTTTAGGTTTACCCTGAACCGTACCGTACACTCCAAGGCCGATTATTGGAGGTCGCTCCCTGGCGGTCTTGGTGCGCTATGCAGAGAAGACGCGCCTTGCTCCCATACTTAGAAGCTCGAGGCTTATAGTAAGACCCGAAAAGTTGGAATCCCGATTAAGGCCAAATAGTGCTGGGATTCCGTATACATTACTCTTAAGGATTGAGGCTTTGGGGTTTCCAACTTTTGGGCTTTTACTGTAGGGCTTTTCGGGTTCAGGGCGTTTGGGTTTTATGGTTTCGGGCCTCGTGTTGGTTTCAGGCTCAGAATTTTGGGCTTAGGGCTTATTTTGGGTTCTGTACTTTAATGAGTCTTTGAGTTCAAAAACTCGCTTCACTTGTTCTCCTAGCGTCCTATCAGGGTTCGACATTTTTTGGGGTAAGGGTTTAGGATGTAGGGTTGGGTTGGGGTTTTAGCTGTAGGGTTGATGTATAGAGGTCGGAAATGTAGTATCAGTGTCCCTGCGCAGCATGTCTCAATGCAGAGTGCAAGCTGCAACCTCTAAACCTGAACTTTTATCCCTAAACGCAAACCCTACTTAAAGGATCATGGGACTTAGCAACTAGGGTTATAGTTAGGGTAACTATACTTATAACCCCAATTAGGGTACTTATAACCTTACTTACTAAGTCCCATGATCCTCCAAGTACATTCTCGATCCATGACCCAAGCTTGAAACCTAGGAACCCGTATCTCATCAGTGCTTGCGGCAGCAGCTGTGTTTTGGTCCACGCCAGGCTGAAGCGCATGCCTGCCTACGGCTGATCCAGCATGTGCCGGGCAGCATAAATTTCGGGGTTTGCAGGGGTTCGGCATGCACGGGGGCAGCGCAATGCTAGGATCCTTGATATGCGGACCACCCACAGGATCCCAAGTACTCCCTCACTTGTACAACTACTTATGCTCCGAACCGAGGTGCTTCTAAGTCTTTGCATCATTTTCCATGAACTCCTCCGGCCATTAATCTTGAACGTGTGATGCTTATCCCTCGGGTCCCCATATAAAGAAGAGTTCAACTCCTTAACACCCTAGTCCAAACTAATATACCCAGCGGCCCCATATATACTACCACGGTGTAAGTAGGTCTCAAAAGAACATCTTCATTATGGTGTTATGGACTTAGTTCCATAGTGGTAATATGGAGCCTCTAGGACGGTACCACAATAGTTGAATCCCAGAGCTTGGAGAACGGCTTCAGGCCTGAAATCTAGGAGCTGATGTTTGGGGCTTGCAGGCCCCAGAACCTAAAGCTAGAGCATGGGATGATCCAGGATTTAGGGTTTGGGATTTGTCCTTAAAGAGGTTTGGTGAAATAGGGCGCTATGCCTTCACGATTTGGGGCGCGGTGATGTTTTTCTGTGGTGGGATTTAACATAACAGGCTTAGGACAGCCCACACACGGAGGGAACCTTGGCGACCTACTGGCTTGAAAAAAAGAGCCAGTGGCTCTCGCACGGTGCGGGCTGGTGCCGAAACTTTTACGGTCTTGTGACAAGTCTTGTGTCTCAGGTTGAAATATAACGTCTGGAATAGTGACTTAATGCTAGCAGTTCCACAGAATACCTACATAACTTATGGTATTCCAAACGGACCCCAAAA